GGACAAGGACCTGGAACAGAATCCCTGCTCTATTTCATATTTGTAAGACCTTGGGCAAATGTAAGACCTCTCTGTGCCTCAGTTTCCTCTCCTGAACAATGAAGGGGTTGATCATCTCTAAGGTCCTTTCCAGCTCCAAATCCTACTAAGTCTTTCCTATGATGCTCCAGGAAGAGCTACAGACTGAGTTTAAGAGAAATGTGGATCCATGAAAGGTAGAAAACCCAAAGGGCACAGTTTCTCAGGTGTGAATGTATTCAATTCAACCAACATTTACTGAGCATCTAATCTGTGCAAAGCATTTATACTAGTATTTCCTTAAAAACAAAAACAAAAACAAAGATGAGAAAACCCAAACCAAAACTAGTTTCTGCTTTCAAGGGGCTTACAGTCTTAGAGTGGAGAACCCTGAATCCAGGAGGAAAGCAGCAATTGCCTAGAAAGCCTCTGCATTGGTACAAAAGGAGTCACATCTGGTCCAACTTACAGGTGAACAGAATCCCTTTTATACACTGACAAACAGCCCCTCCCCCCAGCCTTTGCCTGAGGACCTCCAGAGTCAGAGAACTTGCTACTTCTCATGGCAGCTGTCATCATTAGCAATTTTCTCTGGCCATCAGATCTAAATCTGCCTCTTGGTGACTCCGCCCTCTACTCCCAGTTTAGCCACCTGAGGCCAAGGAGAACAAATTCCATCCCTTTTCCATATGACAGTCATTCAAATACTTGAGGACAGCTTTTCCCGCCCCGCTGTCTTCTCTTTCCCAGGCTAAACATCCTCAGTTCTTTCTAAGCCAAACTTTGGGTACAGCAGCTGGTCTCCAATCCTCTCACCACGTGATGGGGCAAAGGAAGGGTGCAGAATTCAGGTACAGATAAAGAACTACTCAAGCCCAGATGATGCTTCTCAAAAGCATCCAGAAGAACTGACCTGCTCTGGCTTCCCAGAGACCACCCCTTGGGCATTCTGCAAGACACTCAATACCTATGGGGGCTTTAGCTCCAGGTTAAGAGCCCAGGAGTGAGCCTTGGTGAAGAGGCTTGCCGGAGTTTAAGCTAAGAGCAGAGTCAATGAGCCAAGGGAAAGAGAATTCGCTTACAGGAACAAGGTAATAAAAGAAGAAGACAGCAATAATAGGAAAAGTCATGGAGATCCCTCGCTAGCCTGAAGAAAAGGCTTTCCGTTAAGACATCCTCCTTTCTCCTAATTTCATATATATTTTGGATTTAGTATGTTGTTCTCTCCCAGTACAATGTAAGCTCCCTGAGGGCACGGACAGTTCCATTTTTGTTGTTATATGCCTAGCACAATAGAGGCACTATACAGCTATGTGACCCTGAGCAAGTCACTTAACCTTTGTCTGCCTCAGTTTCTTCATCTGTAAAATAAGTATAATAACGGCACCTACTTCCCAGGGTTGTAAGGATCAAATGAGATATTTATAAAGCAGTTTGCAAGCCTTAAAGCACTATACAGCTATGTGACCCTGAGCAAGTCACTTAACCTTTGTCTGCCTCAGTTTCTTCATCTGTAAAATAAGTATAATAACGGCACCTACACTTCCCAGGGTTGTAAGGATCAAATGAGATAATATTTGTAAAGCAGTTTGCAAACCTGAAAGCACTATATAAATACTGGCTCTTTTATTATTAATAAGAATAAATGCTTGTTGAATTGACAGATATACTTTTAAATTGTTTGCTGAAAAGTTGGATGATTTTTCTCATGAGTTTTCTTATGGAACCACCTCGACTTTTATTCTGGAGATAGCAATCAGCTGACAGCCAGCCCTTCCAGAATCCCAAGTCTCCGTACCTAGGGCTTGGGTATCATGGGCCAAGTAATGCTATAGATCCCAAAGGCTCTCGCCAAGCTAAAGCCCAGAGTGCACAAAGATGGTCGGAGTTAGCTTAAAATGGCGGAGCCCTCTGAAATTACCAGTTAGCAAGCAGTAAAAGTACAGACAAGAGGTCTTGCCCATGTGGTTAGACCAGAGGAAATCCTGTTGTGACACCCAAGTGAAAGAAGAAAAAGGGAGCTCGACTATGAGAGCCAGAAGTAGACATGAGCAAAGAAGGAAGCTATGAGGGCACTAGATTGCCCATTTAATAACTTTCACCACTAAACAAAATCCAAGTGTGGGTGCTTATTAACCGATGTTAAATAGAGGACTGAGAAGTGGAGTTTTTAGGTTTCAATCTTTAGCCTTACAGAATCATAGACAGTCAGAGCTGAAAGGGACCTTCAAAGGCCCTCTCTTCCTACTCCCTCATTTTACAGAAGCCCCAAATAATGACGACGATGTTATTCTACAGAAGGCCTGGCCAATTTTACCTCCAGAATCCAATTCATAGGACTTTTGGGGCACAGGTCTCAAGATAGAAGGGCTCTTAGGGATCATCCAATCCAAATACCCCCCTTTTTTTGACAGATGGGGAAACTGAGACCCATAGGATCTGTCCAAGATGACCCTGGTGTTCAGGAATAAAGTTGGGATTTGAACCCAGATTCCAAATCCAGCACCCCACTCTCTCTCATCCTAAGAAATCTCTCACTAGAGTCTTACTATAACTTTGGAGGTCCCAGTTATTCCACTTTACAGATGACGATGAAACTGAGGATTCGGGCCTCAAAAACCAAAGGGGATTTGAGAAGGAATTTGAACTCAGGTCTCTCTGATTCCGTGGCCAGCCCTCAATCCACTAGGCACCCCACCCCTGCCAATTCCTTCAGCGCCAAGTACCAAGCTATGTACTGCTACAAAAACAAAACAGCCTCTGTTTTAGGGAGCTTACACTCAAAATAATAGCAATAATAAGTAGCTAACATTTAGACAGCACTTACTACGTGCTGCAGAAATATTATCTGATCCTCACAACAACCCTTTAAGGTAGGTGCTATTATGATCCCCATTTTACAGATGAGGAAACTGAGGCCCAGGGTGATCAGGTGACTTACCTAAGGTCACTCAGGCAGTAAACAGCCAAGCCGGGATTCAAATTCAGATCCTTCAGAATGAGTCAGAGCCCTTTCCACCAGTCATACCTCTGACTAAATGTTCAGTGACTACTCTGTGTCTATCACATTGGGCCTCAGCAATCCTTTCAGAGATGACATATATCTTAGGCCAAACATTCAGGAAGTCCCAATGATACTGATGGGATAGATGCTGGAGGTCCCCTTGTTAAACCCTTCTCCACTGGCTACCTATTGGTCACTCACAAATTCTATCTCATGATTCTGCAACAAGTCTTCCTGCTCTCTTCCCGATAAGATAAACAAATTCGGTGTGGTGGATTCAGAACCGGTTAGATGGCTATACTCAAAGACCAAGTCCCCAGCAATATGGAAGGAGATCTCTGGTGGAGTGCCTCAGAGATCTGATCTGTCCTTGGCACTATGATATCCAACAGTTTTATCAATGACCTGGATGAAAGAATTGCTGGCACGCTTATCTAATATGTAGCTGGCACAAGCTGGGAGGTATGGCTAACATACTAGATGACAGACAAGATCATAAAAGGTCTTAACAAACTAGAACAATGGATCAAATGTAACCAGAAGAAAGTTAATGGGAATAAATGTAGTCTTGTACTTGAATTCAAAAACCCAACTTCCCAAGTCCAAGATGAGGAGAACGTGGCTAGATATGGGGGCTTTAGAGGGCTACAGCCTCAATTATTAAAAAGCATGCTATGGGGCAGCTAGGTGGCGCAGTGGATAGAGCACCAGCCCTAGATTCAGGAGGACCTGGGTTCAAATCTGGCCTCAGACACATAACACTCACTAGCTGTGTGACTCTGGGCAAGTCACTTAACCCCATTGCCTAGCCAAAAAAAAAAAAAGCATGCTATGGTGGACAAAACAGTAATGTGGTCTTGGCCTTCATTAAGCAAGGGATAGTGTCCCGAGTGAAGGAGGCAATGACTGTATCATACTACACCCTATTCCCATCACACTTAAAGCTCTGCATTCTGTTCTGAACATCCACATTCGAAGAAGGAAATTGATAAGACGAAGAGCATAATGGAGAAGGCCCTGAGATGCTGCCATGTTAGAATGGCTGAAGGGAACTACGGATGTTTAAAGAGGAGAAGACTTAGAAGGGTCATGATCAGTATCTTCTACTTTTTGAAGGGCTGTCACATGGCAATGGCATCTGACTTGTCCTCCTTGGCCCCTGGGAACAGAACTATGAGGCAGCTAAGGTGGCAGAGCAATATAGTATAAGACTTGGAGTCAGGAAGACCTGAGTTCAAATCCTGCCTTGGATACTCACTAGCTGTTACCCTGGGCAAGACACTTTCTGTGCCTCCATTTCCTCATCTATAAAATGGGGATAATAATAGCACCTACCTCCCAAGGTTGTTGTGAGGACAGAATGAGACAACATGTAAAGTGCTTTACAAACCTCAAAGAGCTATATAAATGCTAGCTATTTTCGTCGTTGTTGTAAAATCATTAGAATTAAAATTATTAACAGGAAGCAACGGGTAGAATTGGGAGAAAGGTAAACGTAAGGTTCAACATAAGGGGAAACAAAAGGTAGGGACAGAATTATGATTAGAAATTGAATTAGAGGAATTGACCACCTTGAGAGGGAGCTCTTCACGCAAAGACCACCCACTGGTTAAGTATATCATAGACGAGATTCTCACTCTGGACAGGTTGAATGAAAACTGCCACGCTTTGACCTCATCCTTATTTTCCAGGATGAAAAAACCAATGTTCAGAGCGGTGATTTGCTTCAAATCACACAGCTAAGAAGTGATGGTGTCAGGACTGGAACCTAGGTCTTCTAGTTCCTTCTAGACTAGAGCCTCCTGAAGCTCTAAAGGCAACATCAGCTCCTGCTGAACTCTTCCTTCAGACCAACAGAGGTCCACACTCATGGAAAACCACCAAAATACCACGCTTCTAAGATACTCAGCTCCTTCCCCCACCCTTCCTCTTTACCAACACCAAGCAGGTGATAAAGGAGAGGGAGCACACACAAAAATTCCATTTATAAGGCATTGTCATCCTTCTTTATTGATTGAAAATGTCAATTTAAAAAGTGTTCAAAATAAAAACAGTTTAGAAAAACTGGGTTTGCATAAGAGAAATGACAGGAAATTAGCCTACCCTGGGAGAAGACAAACAGAACCACCTCCTCACAGTGAGGCAGCAATGGAAAGGATAACGGGACCAGAGAATTTACAAAAGCATTGTAAACAACACAAATATGGAACCAGCGCTGTCGATTTCACATGACTTCATTTCCTCACTCAGGTTATTTGGCTCGTAACAGCAACAGCCATGCTTGGTATGGGTTCCGTTAGCTGAAGTACCATGCTTCTCCCATCAGGGGCTCAGAGGCCTCTTAAGCAGACTTCTGTAGAGCTCAGCATTGGAAAATTGGTTTTCGGTACAGTCTGCTTTCCTACCATGACTATAATCCATTTGAGTTCCTTGATATGTGAAGATTGTAGCTCACTGGAGGTCTAGAGCAGACCTTCTGAAATTTTTTCTACTTTCGACCCCTTCAGCACTTCTTAAACTGTTTAAAAAGTGCTTAAACAGTTTAAAAAGTGCTGGTCTGGAGTGAGACCTCAAAAACTAGTCCAATCCCCTCATTTTATAGAGGACAAAAATGAGGCCCAGAGAGATTGCTTCAATTTGCTAGGCCTCAGTTTCCTTATCTAAAAAATGAGAGAGCCGAGTTCCCTTTAGAAGGTAAAGGGCCCTCTCTCAGAAAGTCTCTCCTGGCCCCTCAGCCCCAGGAGGGAATGAAAGGCGAGGCAGAGGCTGCCCCAGATGAGTTTAGCTAGGAAACAGGGGTGGGTGGCTTGCTCCCAGCATTCCTTTGGCTGGCTCACTTCCTGAGAGCAGTACTTCCCCTGGGGGGGGGGGCAGCAAGCAAAAATCCACGTACCATACTGTGTAGCAGCATGGACTAGAGACCACCAAGTACCAGGGTGGGAGAGGGTGGTCAGTTTGGGGAGCAAAGCATTTCAAGTTGGAATCTGGATGTTTTCTAAACCAGCATTTGCATAAACTGACACTCATAAGTATTCATAGCAAATACATCTGGAAAACAACTTTTTTTTTGTTTATTTTCACTTTGTTTTTCAATCTAATGCCCCCTTTTTTTTTTCCATCCCTCAAAAGGGATCTGTCCCACGCTGGTCAAACTTCACCTGCCTTTGGGACTTTCTAATTATCTACCATACATCCTTTCCTAAATTGTGCTGAATGATGCCTGGGATCTGCTGACTATTCTATGGCCATGAGCTACAGCTGTGTCCGGATTGCTGGGATTCCAACAAAGTTACTGAGGAAAAGAGGGGAGCCAGATCAGCGGCCCAGCCGGCTCCAAGCAGGCCCCACTTGTGCTTGGGCAAACACTGGCCTTCCTGGAGAGAGCAGATTCCTGCAAATGCTATTGAAATGCCTCCTCTTGAGGGGGACAGGGGGACTGCTCCACCTCTTGCCACAGTCTATAAGCGGGCCAAGGAGAATGGACATCTCCTGTTAGAAGCCAGCCTCTTCTCTTGGTGGAGACTTTGAGACGCCCCAGTGATGGGAGGCTGGAATCCAAAACCGGGACACCAGAAGAGCTCACGGTCTGACTACAGGAAGGGGAGTGAGCAAAAGCGTGTTCCAACCAGAATGACGTACTGCTGGGTATGGTGAAGTCAAAGCACTGGGGAAATGCAAAACGTCTATGTCTACGATGCTCTAGCCGGAGAAGCTGCCACGATATCGTCATCACATGCTAGAAATAGCCTGCCGGCATTACGGCTTGGTGTTTGTGGCAATGATGAAAGCTCCTGCTCTATTGGGTTAAATCAAGCATGTCAATTAGACCAACATAAAAGCAACAAAAGGACTACTGAGTCTCCCGCGTTATCTTGTTAGAAAATCAAAGGAAAATAACTGTGTGTACACGAGGGGGGAGGAGGGGAGGTTAGACAGGGCGCATGGGCCATAGGACTTTACCATTCAATAACTTAGGTACCATTTCTTACGTGAGGCTTTTCTTGATTCCTCACCCACCCCCCTCAGTCATTAGGACCCCCCCAGTGACTCCACATTGGCGTCATATATATTTGGCATTGACTGGTGGCGTTGACTCCTCACTGAGTAGAGCTTAAGTCTGTGGAGGGCAGAAGTTGTTTCGTTCTTGTCACTGCATCTCCAGCATTGAGTACGGAGTGCGTAGTGGGGGTTTAGCGATGCTTCTTGAATGAATAACTGAGGGGCTTCAAGATCAAGGAAAGCTATTGGGAGAAAGCAGTGGGTGTGCCAGCCTCTCTCACTGGGCACCGCTTGGCAGCTTCTCTGAGAGTAGCTTTGTCCAAAGCACTAGTGACCCATCCGACCAAAGAGGAGATGGGATGAACTGTGAACCTAGGGCCATTTGCTGACTCTTCCTATTGCAATTATTACTACTGGTTTCATTTCCTTATTGAATGGAAGGCTATTTCCACTACAAATTCCTTTTTTTTCCTATAAGAGAAAACAGCCAAATACACAGAAAGCAGACAAGGCGAGGAGCAGAGTAAGTCAAGGGGTCTGATTTTCCCTTCCCGAAGATCCCAAGTCTCACTGGAGTGAGTGCTGGCAGCATGGATGGGGTAGCCTCAAGCCAGGAGGGAGGCCTTGCCTCCTGGGTCTGCCCTCATGCACTCATCTGTTTGCTTCAACAGCCTCCTGACCAACTTTTCCAAGTCTTTCCTGGACTTCAATTCTTCTTCTAGGCATTGCTTCATTTTTTTATTCTCCTAAGTGGTCAAAAACAAAAACAAAAAGCCAAGAAAAGGTCTATTCCAGAGAAAAGCCAACAAAGTCACAGAATCCAGGGGCAGAAGTCAAAAGAGGACAGGTATCAACCAGCCTCAACCCCAGTGCACAGTATCATTCACAGCTTGATATGGGGTGGGAGAAGAGAGAATATGGGGACAACTTGCACGAAACCTAACAAGACCCACCCCAAAGTTTACTGCTGTGTGGGACGCCAGCCACAGAGTAAGTACATATAGCCTAGGACAGGGGTGGGGAAGCTGCAGCCTCAAAGGCCACATGTGGCCTCCCAGGTCGTTGGGTGAGGCCTTTTGACTGAGTCCAAGTTTTATAGAACAAATTCTTTTATTCAGGGGATTTGTTCTGCGAAGTTTGGATTCAGTCAAAGGGCTGCACTTGAGGACCTAGAGGGCCACATGTGGCCTCGAGGCTGCAGCTTCCCCACCCCTGGCCTAGGAGGTACGGTCACTGGGCCATGGCCAAGCTACGATGATATTTGTCAGTTCTGGACAAGACCCAGGTTATGGTAAGAGTGAAAGGGGGAAATATTTCCACTCTCTACATGGTCCCCACTCCACCCCCACCACTTCCCTATGGCATCCCAAATCTGTCTTAGTTCTTCAGTTCCCAGTCCAAGACTCAAAGTGAAGCCTGTGCATTGTGGAATGCTGGCTAATGGGACAGGAACATGAGTCTTAGCCATAAGACAAGACTCCATAAGTCATGGAGTCGAGCCTAGGGACTCCACTGTGAAGTGCAAAGCACAAATTTCAACCCTAGACCACTGATGGCTTTAGGCAAGGCAAATCATCCTCAGAGTCAAAAACTCGTCAACTTTAACAACAAACACATAAAGAAAAGTACAACTGTTCACCAACTCACTGCCCTTGGCCTCTGGTTTTGTCTTTACACATTCTCTTACCTGCTTTAATTCCTTGACTTCATCCTTCAGTGCATAAACAGTGTCAACAAGGCTTCTGGAAAACAAACACAGAACAGAGGTCAGGAATCAACATGTGGGTAGTTAATGACCAAAGCACGTTTATAAAAGTCCAGACCCTGGGGAGTATTTCATTTTCTTGACAGCCCCAGATCACAAACCATTCGAGATGTAAAAAGTCAAGATGTAAATCTTCCTTGGAGATTATCTAACTCAACCATCTCATTTTACGTATAAGGAAATGGAGGCCCAGAGAGGGAAAGTAGACACCCAAGATCACACAGCAAAGTAGTAGCAGAGACAGGACTTAGAAGTTGCATCGCCCGTGTTGCCAGAGTATCAGTAGTACCGCTCACAGATGAAATTGAGTCAGTGTTTTCATAGTCTTTGGGGTAAATTACAGCTGTGAACATTAATTCAAACCCTGAGTCATTTCATTCCTGTTCTGCAAATCCCACCATTTTTATCATGCTCTTTATAGTCTCAGACGTATGGACCCCATCACAAGGTGTAGGCCCCTCCCCAAAACCGGCCTGCCAGCTCACTGACTCCCTCCCCGCCGGCCTGATACCTCCTTCTACTTAGTGTCCCTCCTTTTGTTGCCTATCTTCTTGTTTCCGATGCAAACCCCATCTCCCAACTCCAGGCATTTGCTCTGGCTGTGCCCCCTGCCTGTAATGCTCTCCCTACTTGAGGATCCCTGCCTCTTGGCTTCCATGGCTTCCTTCGAGTGCCAGCTCAGATCTTCCCTTCTACAGGAAGCCTTTCCCCACCCTTCTTAATGCAAGTGCCTCCCCTCTGTTGATCCTCTCAAACTGATTTTCCATATGGCTTGTCTGTATATAGTTTTTGGTATATTGTCTCCCCATTAGACTGTGAGCCCCTTGAGGGCAGGGACTGTCTTTTGCCCATCTTTGTATCCTCAGTGCTTAGCACAGTGCCTGGCATATAGAAGGAGCTTAATAAATGTTGACTGACTGACGGACACACCCAGTACCTCCCTCAGCCTTTTCCCATTGGGAAGAGTACTGGACAAGAGAGTGGGAAAGATGTGGGTTTGAATCCTGACTCAGCCACGTGCCAGCTGTATGACCTTGGACAAATCACTTGACCTTGCTGGCCCTCATGTTCCTCACCTGTAAAATGGGGTTAATAATCCCTGTTCTGCCTCCCCCAGTGGGGTTGTTGTGAAGATGGAAGGAGATGATGAGTATAAAGTACTCCACCAAAAGCAAGAGGCTAGGGAAGGGTTCCTCTGGAAAACACCACAAAGAGTGAGGAGGGGATGAAAGGCAAGCCTGAAAACTGCTGGGATTGAAGCCGCCCTGCCTGGGGTGGCAGAGGGGCCAGGATGGGCCACCAGGAGCAGCCCGTACAGGGGCCCGGCGTCCGGGGAGACAAAAGACCAACTCTCCCACTTTTGCCATTCTGCCAGGGACCACCCAGCTTCTTTACCCTCATCACATGGGTCTGGTTGCTAGGAGATCAGGAACAAAGTAAGCAGATGACACTGGCTCACCGTGTGTCCTTGAGGGAGGCATAAGGTCCACCTTGTGTAAAACAAGGGAACTGGACTGGATCTCTAGGCCCCTTCTGGCTCTGCCTTTCTATGATCTTACAAAAAAAGACATTTTACCCCTTAAAATAGTCGAGTCCACAAAAGCCACCCAATAACTGCTGACACCACCACACTGCCAAATTTGGCTGAAGCACTGTACACATATGAATCCATACATACTACTGTCATCGGGAGTCAGCCTGAGAAAGAACCAGGCCGTGGAGGGCTGCCCCTAATGCAAACCTCCCTCCATCACTGACTCTAACTACAAAGTAAATGTGTTTATCAGAGGCCCCCAAGGACTTCAGAAGCCTGACTGGGATGGCCAGGCTGCCATGATTCTCCTCATGGCCTGAGTCTGGGACAGAGCTCCAGGGAGAACTGTCAGACAGGCAGGCTCTGTGCTCAGTGGAGGGCTTCAAAGGAAGTGGGAGAGAGGGGGCCAGGATGCCCCTGCACTCCCAGGAGGGCTTGATTTCTCCACCATGTAAATGAGCCCAGCATAGGCTAGGCCACAAGGAGAACTAGCCATTTTCCTCCCTGGCCCCAGCAAAAATTTCAGGCAATTTAGAACTGGAAGAGACCTCAGAGGCCATCGATTCTGCCCTCCTCATTTCTCACTGGAGGAAATGCTGGCCTCTGAGACTCCCCAGGGCACACAGGTAGCAAGCAGCAGTCCTTAGACCCCAAATCCAACACTCTTCCCAGGGTGCCCTACTAGGTGGCATGAGCAGGCACACGGGCAGCTGGAAGGCCTTTCCAAGCCCCATACCAAAACAATCAGGGACCTCCCACTCAACTTACTTTTCCTCTATAACTGTCTGCCCATTGCTTCTCGTCTCTTCCACAATAATTTTCTCTTCCTCTGGGAGTAAGACTTGTGGGATGGAGTCCTTGCGGGTACCTGCAAAGGAGGAAAAGGAGCAGGCATATCAGTTGAAATGCTTGCTGTGCAGAACGCCAAGTCCCTTCTGCTATCCTACACATGAGCTCTGGGGCAGGAGCAGGCAGGCTACGATGGACAGAACAACGTGCCCCAGAACACCTAACTGACGCACTGACTCAGGGGACTGTGAAAGAGCACAGCAGTACTTGTCATCTCTCAACAGGGGTGGGGGGGCACAGGTACAGAATAAGGCATGCCTTGTCACACATGGACAAGTTGTTGGCTTGCTTTTCTTAACTGTCCTCCTCTGTTAGGTTCCATTGTGGCACTGGGGAAGTCACAGAAGTAACAGCAAGCAGGAAAAGAGTATTATGAAAACACCCCCTCATTAAAAAAAAAAAAAAGAAACAGAGAGGATGGTGGATGGGAAGGTCACTTGCTATCACAAGAGGGTATGCTACCTCACCTGCAACCAATCATATTTAACCCCAAGTATGTGCTCGGCCTCTTCAGACCTCTCAGACAAAGAAGCCACAAGAGAAGACTTAACCAAATACCTGTTAGCATTTACTCACACTCTCTCCTAGACTATAAGTGCCAGGAGTGCAAGGGACCTTCCTTCTTACTGACCTCTGGCTCTCCCCCAGTGTATAGCACAGTGAAATACCCACAGTGGGTGCAGGACCAGTATTTTGTGTCTCTCACACTGCTATGGTTTCGGAGAACAAGAACCTTTGAAAAACAACCTAAGCAGGAGTGGAAAGGATGGTTGACTGGTGCTGGCCAATGCCGTTGGCCCCTGGCCACTGTCAGTCCAAAAGCCAATGCTCCTTGACTTAATTCTTGCCCTTTCTCCAACAGCACCTGCATAGGAGGCACTATTTCCAGATTTTCAGAACAGCTCTAAAGCCGAGGTTTGATCAAGCCTCGTTCTCGAAAATGTGCAACTGATCAAAGATAGTATTTTAACTTCCTTTCCAAATGTGCCTAGAAGATGAGATTAGCATCTGTTCACAGATACAGGCACTCTCTGGGCTCTTTAATTCCTAACAAGAGCTGGTGAGGGTATCTGCATACTTCAAAGAAAGAGCACTTAAAAAAAGTTTGGGTTTTTTGTCTTTTTCATTTTTATCACCTCCAGTTTTTGCACTCTTTTGCCTCTCTCTAGGTGGAGCTGAGCAACGTGTAAACAAAGGGCTGAGTTGCTACAACAGCCTTATCTTCAAGATCCAGTCCCCTGCGTAGCCTGCACTACTCCTGTTTCCTGACGACTGCTTAGGTCACACTATGCACCCAGTGACACGGCTCTGCATCTCGGGAGAGGCAGCCGTTGTGGAGAAGCTCCCCAGTGTTAGGGAGCAGGGGATACATCCCCGAGGGTAGGAACACCTACCTGAACCATGGCTTTGCTGAAGTCCTGCATTGGCACTGGTGCAGTAGGCCTCAATCACTCTCAGGATCTGGGCATCTTCTTCCAGGGCTGCTGTACCTGGCAGGGGAGAAGTAGCCATCACTTTGCAAACACCCCTCCAAAGGAGCCCTGGGCCTAAGCCAGGAGGTACTGTCCCTCTGGCTGATGGGAACAAGGGAGAACCTGTGATTCAGGGCTACACCAGCACCAAGCCAGGCCTTTGCCCTTTCCCTCGAGACCCTGGCAGAAGAGAAAACGTTTCTCGTCCACTGTGTCATGTCACAGGAGCCTCACAGAACTATAGATGGAGTGGGCAGGGAGCTCAGAAGTCATTCAAGTGTATCCCCATTCCCCTATTTTATAGAAGAAAATACTGAAGCCCAGAGAGGTCACAGGATCACAGATTTATAATTGGAAGGGACATCAGAAGCCATACAGTCTAGCCCCCTCATTTTACAGATGAGAAAACTGAGGCCCCAAGGGGCCCACCCAATATCACAAAGGTAGTAAATGACAGAGGCAGGATTTGAACCGAGGTTTTCTGACTCCCCATCCCAGTGCTCCTCCTGCTGTCCCATGTCCTCCTTTAAATGGCTGCTCCAAGGTCACCTCTCCCCATTTCACTCCATCTATGTTCCGGCCCAACAGCACAACCCCTGACTCACCTGTGCCCTAGCTTCCCTCTCGGACACCATTATACAACAGGACCTGCCATGGTGCTTGTGGTGGGAGACAATAACAACTATAATAATAACTCTCTTGAGCCCCAACTCATGGCGCAAGAGCAAAGTAGGGGAGTGCCAGCCTGGGTGACGGAGAGAGGGGACACTTTATGAGGCGGGTGCTATTATAACTGCCATTTTATAGATGGGGAAACTGAGGCTAAGAGAGGCAAAAGAATTTGTTCAGAGTCACAGAGCTGAGTGTCTAAGCCAAGATGCAACACCAGATCTGGTTGACTCCAAGACCTTACTCCATAAGCACCCCGCAGGCTATGGGGCAGAGTGGAGAGAGTTCTGGAACAAAGGATCATAGCTCTCAAGCTGAAAGGAACTACAAGGACCATTCAAGTACAACACCCTTACTTTACAAAGGAGGAAACTGAGGCCCAGAGAGGTAAATCAAGTGACTTGCTCTGAACTCAGCCCCCCTGAGTGGTCTCCCCACTGCCCCATATCGATGGACCCAGTCATGAAGGCCTGGCTTCAAATCTCACCTCTGCCACTTAACCACTTGAGCAAGTCACTTCACTCACCTCTCTGGGCCTCAGTTTCCTCCTCTGTAAAATGGGGACAAAAAGAGCACCTACCTCTCAGGGTTGTCATGAGGTCATAAGTGAAAAGCACCCTGCAAGGCTTAACACAACACATACACGTGAACTCCTAGAAATAGGGGTGGAACCTGGAGCTAGAGTGGGATCTGATTGGACCATGTAACCAAATCTAGGGTCTCTGAGGGCACCTGGGCCCAAAATCTGTTTTCACTAGATTGAGCTAAAAGGCAAGTGTCATGGACACTTCCTTATACCATGTGTTTCCTGGCCCTTTAAAGGTCCAGGAGCTCTCTGGGCCAGAGATGGAGCCAATGGCCAGCCTGTCCTGTCATTGCTTGGGAGACAAGGGACAGACTGAGAATTTTAAGTCCAGCCCTACCCCAGTGGGGGCCACATTTCTGTGGCTAATTTTTCAGGCAATTAATAAGTGCTAACATTTATACAGAGTGTCTATGTGCCAGGCACTGTGCTAAGTGTTTTATAATTATTATCTTGTTAATTAGCTGGTGCTATTATGATCCCCATTTTATGGATAAGGAAACTGAGGCAATTTGCAGAACACTAGAGTATCCTCAGATTCTGAGAAGGTTTCACCCGTGGAACCTAGTTCATCTACCAGGGAAAGCTCTGGCTATAGAACACACCCCTATGGACATCCTACAATTGTGGGTTTGGGAGGGGCAGCCAGAAAGATTCCCCACAAAAATGAGGTCAAGTGACATCTGATTGGGATGCCCAGAAGGTACAAGAGAACATCCTGGCTCAAAGGCATCATACCTCTCCCTACCCTCCTTTTGCTGTTCAGTTGTATTTCAGTCATGTCTGACTCTGTGACCCCATTTGGGTTTTCTTGGCAGAGATGCTGGAGTGGTTTGCCATTTCCTTCTCCAGCTCATTTTACAGATGGGGAAACAGGTAAACAGACTTGCCCAAGGTCACAGAGCTAGTATGTGTCTGAGGCAGGATTTGAACTCAGGGAGATGAGTCTTCCTGACTCCAGACCTGGCTCTCTATCAACAACAGCGTCACCTAGCTGCCCTCACACCCTTCTGACCACCCTCTACCTTTATACTGTGGTATGAAATCCAAGCCTACACATATAACTAGCCGCTCCTTTCCAACCTAATATTCTAGCTGCAGGAGGTCTTAGGGAAGGTAGGGCATCCACAGAGCCTGGGGACAGTGGGGATTCTGATGATGAGCCTGGGCCTCCCACAGATTTAGAGGGTCACAGTCAAAGGCTTCGGTCAGGGACCGAGCTTCCTTAAGAGGCTTTGGAAGAAAGGGGAAAAGCAGCTGCCTATGCAGCTGGGCAGCACCCATTTCCGGGGTACATGGACATGGACTGTCTGTGGCTGTGACGTGTTGTAATGTACTGGGTATGAACTGTTCCTTGTGGGGTCATGTGCTTTTCTCACTTGTATCACGCTCCTTTTTCACATATTAGCATGCAGCGATCTCTGGCCAGTGTTCAACTCTATAGGTGATGCTATATGTGTACCTACTGTGTGAGACTTGGGTTTGTCCATACGTACTGATGCTACTTATGCCATTATCCTAATAGCTAGCATTTCTGTGTCATTCTGTGGTTTGCAAAGCATTTTACATATATTGTGTCATTCATTTGATCACCAACCCATTTTACAAATGAGGAAACTGAGGTTGAGAGAGATGAACAGACTTGCCCAGGATCACCTAGAGTCAGAGGCAGGATTGGAACCCAGACCTTCCAGAATCCAAGTCCAGAACTCTAGCCACTATGCTACACTACCTCTGAAGGTCCCAAGAAGAGAGAAATGGCTCACCCGAGGTGGTAAGGTATAGAGTCAAGATTTGAATCCAATGCTCTAACTCCAAAGCAGGCCTACTTTTTCCATTGTCTCCCACTACAGCTTCATTTTCTGGTTCCTGGAGAATCTTAGGGATTGAAGAGCTTTAGGAAAAAGGCAGCCAGCAGTCTCGGTAGGACCAAAGGGACCTCGGCCATTATCTAGTCCAGCGCTTCTTAAACCGTGAAGAAGCGCTGAATGGGTCACGAGTAGAAAAAATCTAAGAAGCCCTCAGTCTAGTCCATCTCCCCCATTTCACAGCTGAGGAGCCTGAGGACAAGAAAGGCCTCAGTCCTTTGGCTGAAGGTCACAGGCTCATAGAGCCAGATCTGAAAGAGACCTCCAAGGTCAACAACTCCCCCTTTTACAAAGGAAGAAACGAAGGCCCTGAGAAAGGAAGTGACCTGCCCAAGATCACACAGTATCAGAAGTCGGATTTGCACTCAGGCCTTCCTGAATCCAAGTCCAGCACTCTTGTCACCATGCTATGCCCACTCCCATGATACTGCATGGAATTTTCATGTGACTGCCTTGATGCAGCTGTGCACACATGCACCACACACTGTCCAATGCTAGTAGCAGGGCACCATCCATACTTTTCTCTAAAGAAGCAAGTAGGTGGCAGCCCAGGGCCAGAGCACTGGACCTGGAGTCAGGAAGACCTGAGTTCAAATCTAATCTCAGATACTCCCTAGCTGTGTGAACCTGAGCATGCCACTTTCACCTTTGCCTGCCTCAGTTTCCCCATTTGTAAAACAGGAATAATAACACCACCTCCCTCCCAGGATTGTCGTGAGGATCAAATGAGATGACATTTGTAAAGCCCTCAGCACAGTGCCTGGCACATAGTAGGCGCCATATCCACATTTATTCCTTTCCTCTTCCCCTCTCCCCCTCACATTCAAAAGTGCTTTTTAACCTTCCACTTCCTCTACCAGTACATGGCCATGCCCACTCTTTGATTCTACTCATTCCTAGAGCTATAGGTATGAGTGGGCACAGGTGGCATTACTCAGAACTAAGGATACCTAGGCCGCGTTGCCCGACCGCCCACAGCACGTACTTTTCCTAATGACATATTCTTCCTCTGACGCTTTTCTCTCCGTTTTTCTTTTATGGAGAAATTTCTTCATTGTTTTAGGGCTCTTGCTGGAATCCTGTGAGGGACAGAATGTTCCTGATACATTAATTCCTTCCAAAAAGGCAGAACCCAAGATCAAAAAGACAAACACGTGCCGAGAGAAGGCATTTGCCCAGCGGGATAGCTTGAAGCCACTGAAGAGACAGGCCACCCACATTCTCTCCCAGCACTCCCTAGGGCGAACACCCAGAAGGGTGGCTAGAGAGGTCCCAGGAAGGCAATGCCCCTTAGGTCCCCCCAGGGTCTCTTTGCAAACAGAGAAATGGCAAGGCTCCCCAGGAGGCTCATGTCTGTTGTCATTAACCAGAGGCCTAGATTTGGGGTTATCAGGAAGCTTCAGGCAGGTCTAAAGGATTCATTCTGGTAAGAGTTCTCTAGTCTTCATGCCAAGATGGGGAAACTGAGGCTTCACTGCCTCAAGGCTAAGTGACTTCTATCAACGTGTCAGAGACAGGAACTGAATAAAAAACTTCTTAGTGCATAGGACTGGCTTCTGGTGGCCTGATCAACGTTTCCTCAAACTCTTTCTAAGTGACTGAATGTACACAGCCATATCTGGCACCTCCTATGTCAACAGGCAGAAAAGGAACAGATTTGCAGGCCTGACTCATAAGCTGAAATGAGAAACTGGTACAAGGTAGATAGCAAAGGTTTGTCCATCATCACACTGGAAGAAATCAATTGGGATCCAAGAGCTGGAAGGGACCTGGAGGTCACTGAACCCAAACTCCTGTCCCCTGTAGGGCAGTGTATTATCAGTCCTGTCTCTGACACTTACTATGACCTTGGTTGGCAAGTCCCATGAGTTCTAGATGAGCTGCCAATCTGTACTGGTGGAGGGAGTTTACACACAGGGAGATCCCTACCCTGATGAAACAACAGGTTCAGTCACAGCTTTCCTTCCAGCCCACCTCAACTCCCTCCCACTGCCATTCAATCATGTGCTACCTTCAGAAGGTCCAAAAGACCCCATTTGCTCCCCCAGCCACAGTTAACCCTTTCTGACTTGAAAACAACAGGAGAGGGGCAGGGAGGGAGGGGAATGCCATGCAGCAGTTTTAGCATGGTTTAGCAAGCAGGCCATGGGCCAGATTAGCACAGATGTCCCAAGTACTCACCGTGGCAGGCTTACATTCTCAAGTACTGACAGAGGGAAAGCGCTTCATGCATTAGGAGGAGGTATATAGTACGGCAGGGCAAGCATTAGGAGGTCACAGTAAGGCTGTGGGGATACTTGCTACCCTTACCTTTAAGATATAAGACATCCTCTAAAAAGGGATATGTAAAGAAAGAGAAGAAAAGCGTGAGAAAGGTTGATTGTTACACCAGCCAAGTCCACTGTGCAATCATCTTCAACCGCCAAGTGAAATGTTAGTACTGTCCTTAGCCCCTCAGGAATGGGCACCACCATTCTCACAGCTTTCCCTGTTAGTTTTCCAGTGAAAAAATCATGCACTAGCCCAAGGAATGCAGCTCCGTGCAGAATCCCAGATGTTGAGCACTCTGTGCTGAAGACACATTAACCCACTCCCTCCAGCAGGGGGACAAAAAAGGCTCATGCCTCAAGGTTTAATAGATTAGTTGTGTGCAGAGGGATTTGGGGCTCTTTACCTTACCCAGAACCTAACCTTTTTACCCCTGACGTGACTGGCCCCTCCAAAGATGCATATCGCAACCCATCCGCGCCTGTCCATCACATGTGACTCCTGCCCATGCTCTCTCCCGTTTTAATGGTTTAATGGACACAGAATACTTTAAAATGTGACAAGGAGGGGAGAGACTGCTGGGAAACATAAGGCTGTTGTGCTCAGGTCATCTTCAAAAGAGGACCCCTGGATGACTTTGATGAAGCCAGAGCAAATGGAATGCTTCTCAGTCCCCCCTCCTGAGGACCCATGTAAACTGAAGAGTCAACTCAGGTTCTGGCCTTGAAAAAGAGATCAGTGAGTCCTAAGGGGCCCCTGTTTTCTTCTGCTCTTTTCTGCTCTTAAGTGCTGAAGCCATGCATTTGGCAAGGCAGCCAAATGTCCGGTCTTACATGAAAGTGGCGTGGAGTGGAGCTAAACTGTGTTTTATCACCTGAGCGCCATCCAGAGGGATGCTTTCCCTCAGCCCCCAACCTAGCTCTCCACCCCAAGAAGGCTGCTTCCAGCTCACAAAAACAGGTGCACTCAACACTGAATCAGACCTGGAAAAGGAACTTTTACTCGTGATTGAGCATCTTTTCTGAAATCGGAAACCAAGACTAGAAACAGGTCAGGGAAATAGGCTCCGATGGGCTGGAAAAGGTAAAAACTGAACACAGGTTACGTCAGCTGCTGACTGGGGTTTCCTGGCTACGACCCGAACAGGAACAGGAGGGTGAAATCCCCACATCCCCCAACCCCAGCAAGCTCTCTGGGCTTAACTTTAAGAAGCTCCCTTCCCCCTTCTTTTCTTCTGCGAAAGCCCTTACAGAGAACCCTCTCTCTTTGCCTCTTACAGTACATTGGGCCTTGACTTCCCAATTCTGACCTTCCTGCTTCTGGTCTGCCCATATGAATGGGCTTTGCCATCTCTAAGCAGGTGATTCATGAACAATCTGCCCCCCCCACCCCCCACCAGGAGTCTTCGTGTTTGGAGCTGAGAAACAATTGCTGAAAAGCAAGAATGCTGAAAGAGGGCTCAAGCCCCACTCAAGGAAATTGTGGCCCAGAGAGGGGAGAGGACTTGCCCAAAGTCACATAGCTCATAAGAGGCAAAGTCAAGATCTGAACCCAAGTTTCCTGATGTCAAATCGAGCACCCTTTTTCACCATTCTACTCTGCCTCTGTTTCTTATTTGAGACTTGGGGGTGAGGTGTCTAACATCATAAACTACAAAGGCCACTTTAAAGTTTGAAAGTTAATTCATTAAAGATCCCAAGTAGGTCTGCATTGGGAAGCCCTTGTGCTAAGCACCTAGGCATCTACAAAATAATCAGGGCACACAACGTGGACTCCCAGAGGGAGCCTGGGCAGTCAGTAAATCTAACAGTGAAGACAATGAAGAGCTACCACTTGGGCTCTAGCGAAGTGTGTGGGATCCCAGAAATGTCGCCCCATCCCCCAAATGACTCTCTGGCAAAGGGAAGCGGCCCTGAAACTCCTTTATCCACACTAAGAAATAGACCACTTGTAGCGAGATTACCTCTTTGTAACCTAGAGCTGCCGAAGGTCTAAGAGGAGGTGCGGGTCTGAGACAACTTAAGCTCCAGGGCTTTTGAATTGGGGGAGGCTCCAGGGCTCCTCGAGGTTGTCCGGCAACGCTAGAAGACTGGGAAAATGGCTCATGAGATGCTGGCATTCTGCCATGTCAACACTACCATAAGGTACATGGGGAGAGAACAGGTCACAGGCACAGAACAGAGAACAACAGGGCTGGAGAGAGTATCTAGTCTACCACCATGTCCCACCTCATTTTTTCAGGTGGGGAAACAGAGGCCCAGAGTTAGGAAGTTGCCTACCCAGGCTGGTTTCACTGTCTCTACCACACTGGCCTAGTCCACCCCAGAAAAGGGAAAGGGGAAGACAAGTTAGCCCATGGACAGGTGGGAGAAGGGCCTTCTAGAGTTTCACCACTCAATTTTCCCATCCCAGATTATGGGATTTCCTTATCATGTGGACTAACCCATCCAAGAGATCCATTTTCTGTTTTCTCAAGCCTTAATTTTAATTTTTTTTTTTTTAGGATTTCAGGCAGGCTGTATTTCCTGAGGCAATTTTTTTTTGCAATACTGGCCTCCCAAGTCTGACTTCCAAGGCCACCCCAGGTCACAGCCTCTCATTTGGTAGAGAAATCATCTCACTAATCCGGATTTTGGGAGATCAGAACTTGGAGGCACTTCACCAGGGGGTGATCTTTGATTACTTTTTGGTTCCCTTTGAATTTTTTACTCAGGATGGCCTACTGAGCAAAAGTATAAATTACAGGGACAGCCGAGGTGAGGCAGCAGGGGACATAGTACAAGCACTTATAATTTCTTTGCAAGGGAGGGAGGAAGAGAGGAGAAGAAGCACCCAAGGGGGAGTCAGAACATAATGTTCAAACGCTGCCTTGACCCCCTGCTCACTGTATGAGCTTGGACAAGTTACTTAACCTTGCTAAGTCTCAGTTTCATCCTCTGTGAAATGGGCCTAATGACATGAGTGCTAGCTATCCCCAAAGGGCTTCTGTGAGGAACGGGCTTAGGGAACTAGAAGATTCTATGGAGATGTGAGTTACTATTGTTATTGGGCTTGTGACTGTTCACAAATAAAACTGGCTCATTTGTGGACACTCCCAAGCAGAAACTCTGGTTGGAAACTATGAGCTGTTAGCTGCTGTTACAGTACATTTCTAGCTACAGGTGAACAAACTACAGATCTCTAAGAACTAGTGGCTACGTCGCTACTGGTGGCTGTGCATTAGTGTGTCTCATCGTCTATGTTAGGAAGTTTCCTGCCCGCCAAAAATCAGTATAAGGTGCAATATACAAACACAGGCCACATGCTGGCGGCTTTTCAGAAGTCTTCGACACACAGGGCGACATATGGGACTTGCCGTGGAAGCAGAGAAACTCATCGATACCTGGACCTCATCAGACTCCCCAGGGGCAGAACCAAGCCCAGTGCTTACAGATGGGGTACTCCACGACTGAGTTTTCACAAGCACGCTGCCCGCACCAGTGCCCCTGATCAGTCTGTGCAGGTGATCCAGCCACTCTTGGAGATCCTGGCTGCTAGGACAGAACACCGTCATCCTCTCAAACAGGGGGCCTACAAGTGGGAAGACGTGGAAGGTGAGCCGACCTTCGCCACTGGCCCTGCCACAGGTGACTGATGACCCTGTGCTTTGAAGGAGTCGTGTGGGGATGACTCTTAGCCCATGAATCCCTGCCCACTGCTCCTACAGGAGCAAGAGCCATAGCTACCGGAGATCTGGAAAGGAAAGCTCTGGCCTTCCAATCCTTGGCACTGCCAAAAGGTTCCACGTCCACAACCGCTCTCATTTTATCAGTGAGGACAACATTAAAGAGGAGACTTGATCATCTGCTTTGCCCTAGAGACCAAGGGGCCTTTCCGTCTGACATGCAGCTGAAACCTCCCCATTAGAACGGGAGCATTAGTACAGTGCTTTGAACATAGTAGGTGCATAATAAATGCTTCATTCATAAGTTCTCCTAAAAGAATGTGTTGTGGGTCACAGAAACTGCCTTGTTATTTTCCAGCCACATCTTATATTTTCTTCCTTACATCCCTTTAAAGAGACAGTGAAACTCCCAGAGAAAAATCTTGCTGGATCACAGATTTAAATGCTTTTTCAGGTGTTGTTCAGACTGATGAATTCATCAGTTTGGGCAAGTCCCAGTGTGGAAATTCCCTCCACAGACAGATTGACAACTTATCTGTCATTTCGACCTAAGGCCCTGCAAGCTCACACAGTTTATATATACCCAAGGCAGGACTTGAACCCAAGGCTTCTTGATGCCAAGGCCAGTCCTCCATGCTATCTCTTGTAGTTTTAATTTTTTTTAGTATAGAGAATATCCAGTATGGAAACATCTGCCACCAGTCTAGTCCGAACACTATTCTGCAACATGGGGCCTCAGAGACTTGCCTTGGCCCCAGAGAGGTTAAGTGCTTTGCCCAGGGTCACACAGCTAGTCTGAGGCAGGATGTGAACCCAGATGTTCCAGCTTTTTCCACCATTAAAAAGTCTCCAGATGAGCAGCTCAGTCCCTTCTGAGCCTAAAATTCTATGATTCAGCAGACTCTCCCACCCCCCCAAGGGAGTCCATTCCACTGTAGGAACAGCTCTCACTGCTAGGGAAGCTTCCCTTCCTGCACGCCTCCTCCCCCTCCCTTCAAATCCTGCATTCTCACAGGCTGGGTGAGAACCAAGATTCTGGGCCTTTTAAGGCCTTCCACCTGAAGATGGATGGCAGGAGCGAAAGGACAGGAAGTTGCCAGGGGTCACCTTTGTTCAGTAAACATTTATGAAGCACCTGTCATGTGCTGAACCCTGCTGAGTGCGAGTGGTCCAATGACTGAATGAATCAACGAAAAAGCACACTGTGTGCCAAGTGCTGTGCTAAGCAATGGACGTACAAATAGGGGAGCAAACCCAACAACCTCAGAGTCCCTGACCTCAACGAGCTTATCATCTAACGGAGGAGCTAAGACACAGACAGAGGAAAGGGTCAAACAAAGCAAGAGGCCTGACAGACTGCAGTGGCTGAGATCCCTGCTCTCACTGGGCCATAAGACGGAAGGCTTCATGGAGAAGGCTGCCCCTGAGGGGGGTCTGGGATCAGGAAAAGGGGACAGACTTCCAATTTCACTCCTCAGAAATCCAGGGAAGGCTCGGCTTTGCCACCACCCCCATGCCAAACGCCACCCCACCCCTCCAATGGAGCCAGGCGGTACTGACCTGCAATTTCAAACGAATAGTCATTGCCTTCACTTTCATCCAGTCTTGTTAGCATCATTCCAGCAACTGGGAGTTTTCCCTGCCAGAACGAAAAGGGCTTACTGATGACTCCAGATCTCCAAGGGCCCGCTCATTCTCATTATGATTTCTGACTTTCTCAGGAGCTGACTGCTGAGTTTTTCATGCAAGGGTCAAGGGATCACGGATGTGGAGCTGAACGGGGCCTCAGAGACCAACTAGGACAACCCATTTACTTCAGAGATGAGAGAAGTAAAGCCCAGAGAGGTTAACTTGCCCCAGGTCACGGAGGGGCAGGGATGAGATCGGAACATGAGTCTTCCATGAAGCTAGGCTGCCTCTTTCGTTTATCTATATGTCTCTCCAACCTGAATTTTAACTTGCTCAAAGACAGGAAAAAATGGGGAGACAGTCTGTGGAAGGCTTGTTCCTGGGGCTGTTAATGAGCCTTCATTTCACTTTGGACTGACTGACTGTCACTTCTTCTTAATGTACTGATCAGAATTTGGGGGAGCAGAGCTAGAACTCTCAGGAGTGAGTGAAGCCTGTCCGGAGGCTCTGAGTTGAGAGGGAGAGGTGGGGCCCGATGCTTCTTCCTCCCATGGTAAACCTGAGCAATCTCATTCCCTCCCTGGTCCAGGGTTCAGGCTGCCGCATGCTAGGGCCAAATGCCATCCTGCCCCTTTCCTGAGGCTGTCTTCTCACCAGAGTGGGCCGCCCCACATGGCCTGGGGACCCACTGAAAGGGATAGCCAGACTTAGCGTGGGGGCTGGGTTTGGGGGGGGGGGGTCCAGGTTATGGTAAGCTTGGTCGGAGCTCTTCCCTGTCCCTAGCCTTCCCCACACATCATTTTCCAGCAAGTCCTCTAGGACCTTTCTGTAAGGTTCATAAATTCCCCTTCATGCTAGAATGTTTCCTCTCACATTCCTTCCACCTTCCTGTGTTCCCTGAAGCTGTCTTTCTCCTGAAGGCCCCTTTTGCTCTATGATGCCTTCTGCCAGGCTGGCTGCTTCTTCTCTCCCACCCCCAGATGCAAAGAGCCAGGGGAATTGGCATCTCCTTGCTGCCCGTGGCTACTTTTAGACCCACCCTCTGCTAGCGTCACTCAGTAACCACGTCTCTTCCTTTGAGGTTCACTCCATCTTATCCAAGTCCTGGCTGCTATCATTTATGGACCTCCACTCCACAAAATTTAGTGACTGGCTCACAGTCTTCTCCACTGTAGCTTCCATCCCCTTTCAACCACCCTGGCCTCCCAATGCCTCAACCTCTCCAATTCCCATGACGTCTGTCTCCAGTCTACCTCAACCACATACAGCTAAATTTGTTCTAGGTACTAGAATTCCTAATTAGTCATTCCTGCAAGTCAGGATGGTCTGAGGCCTACCTACCAGGTGCCAGTAACTTTGGGTTCCGGATGTTTCTAGGGCCCTGAAAGAACTGAGATTACAGACCAAGGGAAATCTACCTTTTTAAAAAGTCTAACAAGGTTCCTGAAGTACACAGCTTGGAGAGTCTAATTAGGCAGGGCGGCTATCATTAAGGTGACCTTTTTCTTTTCTAAATGTCAACGATGTGAGGTGGGCAAGTACTGCTGCTAATACTGTCTAGACACCCCCTTAGGCCTCCGGGTGTGGATGCCTGGCATGACAGCCAGAGCAAAGAGCACACAGGATGCAATCATTAGGAGGAAACAAAAATATGCCTTGAATTAAGGACTATCTGCCCTTATGGGATGTGTCTAACAATTAAGGAAGTCAGGCCAAGGTGTGTGGGTGGGTGGGCAAGAGCTGGGCACTGTCAGACTGCTGCCACTCTGGCATGACGACAATGGCAATGATGACAGAGGTTTGATACGTGCAGAGCAGGGGCAACTGAAGAGAGACACGGGCTCCATCAGGTCCCTGCTCAGAAGCCAAATCAACCACCATCCACTGACCTGATAGATAAATCCACTCATCCGAGGACTTGCTGATACCATGAGTAAAACACTCGGAAACAACAAGAAATATCTTTCTTCTTTCTCCTAGAGCAGAGAGAGGGGAGAGAGAGAGAAAACCAGGAAGTTAAGAAAACAGGTATGGTTTCTTAAGAAGGCCTAAAATTCAAAAGGATGATGCAGCAGGTACACCAAGCTCTGGGTCTAGGGTTAGGAAGACCTGAGTTCAAACGTGGTCTCGGCACTTACTAGCTGTGTGAATCCTGGGTAAATCACTTTATCTTGGTCCTCCTCAGTTTCCTCTACTGTAAAATGGGGGTAACAACAGCGCCCAGCTCCCAGGGTTGTTGTGAAGCCCAAATGAGATAACGTATAAAATGTTTTCAAACCTTATAAATGTCAGTTATTAAAAATATACATGTGTGTATACAAGTAAATCTATCCACATATCTATGTGTGTATATTATATGTATATATGTGTATTGCATGTGGATGGAGATGGGTGTATGTATGTGCATGAAGGCACACTCGTATGTCCATGTGCATGCATACCATATACCTGGAATATTTTCTAGTCACTGGACCACAGGATCCTAGCTCTAGAGCTCTAGCTCCAAGGCCAGGAACCTGAGGCCCAGAGGAGGGGAAGTGACTTGCCCAAGGTCACATGGACCTCGGTCACAAGATGGCAGAGATGGCTTTCAAATCCAGGTCCTCGACCCCAAATCCAGTGCTCATCCCCCTCTACCACACATCAAGTCCATGAAGAAGAATTCTCTTCAAAACTGAATGAAGCCACAGGTTCCTACATTTGTACTTTTAAATGAGCATAATTTCTGGTTCTTCATTCTCTTCCCTATAAAGATAACAATAATTTTTATAGCACTTTGTTTCACATAAGCCTCTCGGCAACCCTGTGAAGGAGGTAGCATAATTTCCATTTCATAGAAGACACTGAGGCTCAGAAAGGCAAGCCAGTCAACAAGCCTGTAATGTGCTAGGCACTGAGGATACAAAGACAAAAGGAAGGATCTGAGACAGGATTTGAACCCGGTCTTTCTGACCCTGATGCTGTCCCACCCCCATCCCACCTCCAGGATCCTGTCCTGACATGTTCACACCTCCTGCCCAAGGTGTCAAAATCCCTGCTAAGCTTCTCTCTGTTCCAGTGTGAGGAGGTGTAAACATGCCTCCTCTGGGTACTCCCCTTGGCCTTCGGAAAGCACACAGAGATGCTTGAGGAGTCACAGGCTTCAGGCATCCTTAGACTTGGCATTTAAAAGATGACCCTCAGCAGGCCCAGGAGACAGGCCTCAGCTTGGGAAAACAAGGAGCCAGTAGGATACTAGGGCACACCCATTACATGTGCAAAAACACTGAATAGCTTCCCTAAGCACAGGGACTGGGAAACTCCCCCTAGTTAAGACTGAGCAGGCCACACTCACCAATGATTTCATTTCACATCATGAAAAATTATTTCTGAACTTGTGAGATTGGTAAAATGAAGGCAGGCTGGGGGGTAGAAAGGGGGGGAGGAGAGCAAAGGGGATGAATTACATAGTGCACGAAGCTCATTACCAGAACATCTGCATCAAATGTTTGGTCATGATGCATGCACTGGAATACTCAGGAATGGGGTTATCATTCTTTCAGCCACTTACAGATGCAGACAAACAACTGGCTTAAGCAGAGTCCAACCAGAACATGGATTTTTCTTAACCTGGGGTCCATGGACTCCTAGATATCCGGGGGGTCCATGAACTTGGATGGGGAATAAAAGTCCATCTTCATTTTCACTGACCTCTAACTGAAATTTAACATTTCCTCCAATTATTTAAAAACACGATTTGGAAAAGGAATGTATCCACAGGCTTTCCCAGACTGCCAAAGGGGTCCATGACACAGAGAAGGTTAAGAAACCCTAGGCTAGAGAAGGACCATCAAAAACTCTCCTTTATTAGAGAACCAGCCCTGCAGTCAGGAGGACCTGAGTTCAAATCCGATCTCAGACACGTAACACTCACTAGCTGTGTGCCTCTGGGCAAGTCACTTAAGCCCAATTGCCTCACAAAACAAAACTCTCCTTTAGTTACCAAAAGTTAGCCTCCATGGACCTTCTATGGGCCTCGGAAAAGACAGGCAAACTCACATCTTGCTACATTTCTTCACTGCTTTCCCTAATTCAACCATTTTAGAGCAGTTTCTCTCTCTATGTACACCTTCTCATCCTTCTGCCAGTCTGAGGACCAACCCAAAGGTGCCCAAGAGTCCGTGACAGGCCTTCCCTCTCCTGAAGGCCTTTGTTCCAGTATCTGCAGTCCCTTCTTCACTGACTATTCCTCCTTTACCTTCAAATGTGCTTGGAGCTTCTCTACCCTAAAAAAAAAAAAAGCTAAAAACCCAACCCCTTCCTTCAACCTGACCCCATCCTGCTATCCCTTCCACCTCCCCACCAAGTTCTTCCCCTCCAAATTCCTTCTTTGTATTATCAACACTTCCTCCCAACAGCTTTGTCCTAAACTCTTCAATCTGGCTTCCAATCCCAGCGTTCCACTAAACTCCTCCTCTAGCAGGCCACCATTCATCTCATCCTTCAAGGTCCAACTGAATCCAATCTCTTTCAAAAAGCCTTCCTTAATGAGTCCAATTTACATGGAACCATGGTATCTCTGTGATGTTGAGTGTCCAAACTAATTGGGGACTTGGGGATACTCTTTCTCTGACATTCAATAGGTAGGTAGGTAGGTAGGTAGGTAAGAAGCTAGCTAACTAGCTAGCTAGAGAGACAGACAGACAGACTGACAAACAGACAGGTGATTTCCAAAAGATCTTGGAAGATGGCCTTTACAGCCCAGTGTCTACACAGTTCTTATGAGATTTCTTTGGCTCCTAAAATGGATTTTTGAAGGCTCAGGATCCCTACAGAGGGTTAAATGAGGCTGTTGAACAGAAGCCAGGTAGACTGCCCTAAGGCTAAGATTAAATCTTTCATTTCTACCTCCTGTCTGAGTCCATGGTCCCAGACAACTATCTGATTTAGGATTGGGAATTACTAAAATTTCCCCTTGGGCTTGGCATGTAAATGAATTTTAATGAAACCTAGATCTAAGTAAAGAAAACAAGAGGTCATTGTCCTCCATCCTCCAGGCTTGAATTTCTGTTTTTATTCTATACATGTGTTGGCATCAAAAACAAAGCAATACATCTTGGCTTCAGTGCTATATTCTGGCCACTGAAAAGCCTCATGGGTCCCCTAAATATCATATCTATGTGTACAGTATATGTGTATGTGTATGTGTATGAATATACATATACAGTCTGCCCCAAAAGTCTTAGTATGGTTTTAAGCTATTAAAGTTATTAAAGCTTAAAATTACATTAAGACTTTTGAGACAGCCTATATTATACAATATTATATTGTCTTTTTTTCTAGAGGTTTCTCGTGTGCTTGTTTGCCCTTCCCAGCTAAATTACCAACTCCTCAATCATAGACAACATTCCTCATGTTTCTCCCCTAACTTCTAAGGTGCCCAGCCCAGTGCTGGCCAGAAATTAAGTCTCAAATTTCTGGACCAAAACTGCTCATGTTCAGCCCTGATGGAGGAAAGGTCATGTCAAGGTCATAATCTCTTACCTCACTGGCACCACACTGCACCATTACTTGCGACATAAAGATGACATTGCCCAAGGTTTTTATATCATCTCCTTCCCAGCCCTGGATGGTTTCGGAGAGAATTTGCAACTCCAGCTGCTTCTTCTTTCTCAGATCCTGACACTGGGCCTGTGGAGCCAAAGCACAGACTCTTTTCTTACCGTTCTCATTAAAAGCAGGACTTGCTTTCTGGGGAAACGGAGGTGAAAGAAGATTCAAGTCAGAGGGGATTTTTGGTGATAAGACTGGCAGAAGATTGGTCCACTCACTGCAGGCCTTGGACAGGCAGAAAGGTACAACTGTGTAGAATGCAAGACCCTGGAGGGGAGATGATCACTGAGACTCAGAGTTCAAACGGAAATAAATCAGAGGCTGCTAATCCAATTTGTACACAAACAAGCCTGTTCTCTATTTTCTCAACAAGTGGTCATCCAGACTTTGCTTGATCCCATTTAAGGAAGAGGAGGCCACCACCTCCTAAGGCACATAATTCAACTTTAGGTTGCAAAGGTTTTCCATACTTTAAATAGAATTCTACCTCTTTGCAACTTCTACCCAGTGGTCCTAGGTCTGCCCTCTAGGGCCGAGTAGCACAAGGTTAATTAATCCCTCTTCCAAGTGCCAGCCACCCTGTAAATACTTGATGGCTATCAGCTTCCCCCTAAGACTTTTCTTCTCCAACCTAAAAATTCCCAGTTCCTTTGCTCAATCCCCATGTGGCATGAATTCAAGGGCCTTCACCAGTCTGATGGCTCTCCTGTGGAGGCTCCCATATCATTAGTGTCCTTCATAAAACAGAGTGCTCAGAATGGAATGTAACCTCCAGATGTAGTAGTACAACCATGGTTGAGCCAGATGATGTTACCACCACCATAGTCCTGGACAGTATATCTCTCTTAACACAGCCTAGGACTGCATTTGCTTTCTTGGCCACAGTATCATGCTATTGACCCGTGCTGGGCTCGCTTACAGTCCCCTGACATCTCTAGATCTCTATAGTTAGTCATGTCTTCCCCATCGTATTCTTACCAAGTTGATTTTTTGGACCAAGTCTAAGATTTTATATACTTTACATCCATATTAAATTTCCTCTCTGTGATCCAATCCATTGCCAGCCCTGTCAGCTTTGGATTATCTGCATATCTGCTAATGCCTTTAATGCAGGTCACTGATTAAAAAGTGAAATGGCACGGAGACAAGTAGAGATCCCTGCGTCACTCCACTGGAGACCTCCTTCCACTCTGCCATGTAACCAGATCCCTCTAACCATATCTCTCTAGCCCACGTTTCTCCAGATTTTCCACAAGACTGTCATGAATGACTTTACCAACTACTTGGCTAAAATCTCAGTTTTGCTCAGTCCCCAAGTAGCTTCTCGAAAATGACAGAAAACAGACAATAAGATGAAAATAACCCAAAGACTGAAAAGAAAATCCCAGTCTTTATGTCATCACCATTCAAATCAATTTCGTAATGAAAACATACGTTTTATGGCTTATACTTTAATTAGGCCAGCAATAGGTCTCTCTAAATAATGCAATAAATTGTCTTAGGAGAAGATGAAGAAAATTACTTGTAATTCAGAACGAGCTAGGGCTGGCAAGAAATGTTAAGGATGAGAAAAAGGACCTTTTTCAGATTACAGGCCAGAGTTAAAAGACAATGGATAGACGTATAAAGTTGCCCACATAAAGAGAAACAGATTTAGACTTAATGTAAGGGATAACTTCCTAAAGATTCCAGCTGTCCCAAAGTGGAGCAGGCTGACTGAGAGGTGGTGAGTTCCCCCTTCACTGGCAATTTTGAGGCAAAGGTTGGGAAACTATCAGGTATGATGTGAAAGGGACTACTGTTCAGATACCTGCTGACTTCTGAGATTTCTTCCAACTCTGAGAGTTTGGGATAAACCAGTTCCATGATGACAAAGCAAGAAGGCTACAACTCCCAGTTTGCCAACTATGTTTTACAGCTATACAAGTGTCAAAATTCTATTAAATCTTAACATTGGAGAACAATTCAATGGCATCCCTCTCATAGTAAGTGCATACATGAGCTATGTTCTAAATGAGGTGAATTGTTTTCATTTCATGCTTTCCCTAAAACCTTTGCTGTCTTCTTCGATGAAACCATCACATCTCTTCTCAAACTGTATGAGGCAAAGGATATAGCCGAAAGTTCCTTAGCCTTAGAGTCGGGTAAACTTATTTTGAATGCTGTCTATCTCACTTCCTAGCTGTGTGGCTAAAATGGAACAGAGTAGAGAAATGGAAGAAGCAGGACCACTAAATACTTGGAGTAAGTAACAGAAGGGAGGCTCTTTCTATAGAGAAAGGAGCTGGACCGTCTAATGAGGAAGCGCTTCCTCACCTCCCAAGGAATGAGGATATGGCTGGATCTCATCTACTATGGCTCAGAGAAAGAAGAGTTGTGGTGACTGGTGACTCCACCTGAGGGCAGAAGGAGGCGGTTATATGTCAAGGTGACAATAACAGAGAGCTCTACTGTCCTCCGGGATGTGACAGAAAACCTTCCAAGATCTATCAAAATGGATGACAACTCCCTAGTTTCGGCGATTTAGGTAGGCACAAAGGATATGGCCAAATGGAGCCTAGGAATTATTGTCAAAGATTATGAAGTCACGAGCAAGAAACTGAAGAGCTCAGAGACACAGGTGGTGTTGTCATCATTGCTGCCCATCAAGGGCAAAGGTTTCAGAAGAGAAATGAAGGCTTGGTAAGTGAACAGCTGGTTAAGAAGATGGAAAGTGAGAGTAAACTTTGGATCTCTAGACCAAGGCTCAAAATACAGAAATGTGAGGCCCACGGCCAGGGATGGGATACACTTGGCAAGAGCAGGTAAGAAAGCATTTGCCCAAAGTCTTACAAATCTAATCAAATGAACTTTATACTAAACGGAAGAGGGCAGGAGAAAACGATTTCTTTCCATCAATTTCAATTCCATTGATTCTCAAACTTTTACAGTGGCAGAACCCTTCGATTTAAACAAAATTTTGGCAGAACTCTTGCAGTAAAACTCTCTAAAATGATGCTTGTTAATGCCTCTTAATAGACAATACAAGGTTCGTTTTGAAAAATAAACTTGAGGTGCTTCAAGGTTCCCTGCAGCACAGTTGAGAAACACTGCTCTATACCATAGGAAGAAGCTACAATGTGGGAAGAATAGCAGTGGAGATGGTCAAAAATTCAAAGGAGACAAATCCAAAGGAGATGGGAGCAGCAAGAACCATGGCTTCAGACAGCTAGACACAAATGCCCAAGGAATGAGTAATGAGCAAGGTGGACTAGAGATCCTACTGCAGGGAGGCAAATGTGACCTCACTGAAGTCACTAGGACTTTCTGGGAGAGGCCTTGACAAGTGGAATAGGGATCCAAAAGGATAGAATGTATTCAAAAGGATAAAGACACACAAAGACAGGGGGAGTACAATTTTATATGTAGTGTCAAAAAAATTCTAGGAACTAGACTTGAAAAGCATGGTAGAGAGCATTTGGGTAAAGATGAACAGAGGCATAAAGCAAAGCACCACTGTCATTTGGAGTACACTACAGACCACCTGGACAGAAAGAAGACATGGATAAGGTATTAAGGAAACACATTCTTAGTCTGCCACAAAGCCAGGATTATGATAGGACTTCAATCATATAGACACCCACTGGAGCTCTCTCTACTGAAAATGGAACAACTAATAATTTCTTGACTTGCCTTAATGACGATTTCATTCTTCAAAAGACAGAGGAAGCAAAAAAGGGGAACATCTATTCTGGATCTGACTCTCATCAACAAGGAGGAACTGTACTAGAAATTTGTAGGGGGAAGTGATCATTCTATCATAGAATTTATAAAAGAAAAGGACAGGAAGGTTGGCCAGAGACTGATGTGCGCTCTGTGTTTGGGGAAAGCAGGTTTCAAAGCAGGATTCCATGGATTAAAGTTCTACAGAGGAAGTCAGCCTGAGGGTGATGGGAATTTCTCAAGAATGAAGTTATAAAGACACAAAAAGAAACAATTCTGATGAGGAAGAAAAAGACTCAAAGGACCAATAGGGATAAACAGGAAACTCATCACCCAACTTAGATGTGAAGAAGACGTGAAGAAAAGCTGAAAGCCAGGACAGGCAGAGGAAGATCAGTGGACAACACAGCACAGGAGAGCGCCAGGATTGATAAGGCTCACAACGAGCTGAGGCTGGCAAGGGATGCATGCTAAGGGGGAACAAATAAGGATTAGGTCGGTTTGTTCTCTTTTTTTTTTAGTGCTATACCAGCTAAAAGAGGAAGATCCGGGAAGGGACAGGACCTCTGTTCAAAGTGGTTGGGAGGATAATCAGTAATGACAGATTACTGGGAAGGTAAAGCTGCCCAATTCTTACTTTGGGCTGAAAAGAGCAAGGAGGGGAGGAGGAAATAAGGAGGTGATACATGGCATAGGGAATAAGATGGTAAGTGAGCGCTTAGCTAAGGCCCAGATGGACAACAACATCAGGTCCTGAAAGTAATGGTGGCTGTGCCCCCATAAGTGATCACTGAAAGACGGGAGATGATAGGAGAGGTGCTACAGGACTGGCAAAGGGCAAATGTCTGCTTCCCTCTTTTTCAAAAAGGGTGGAGAGCAATCTACAAACCCTAGGCCAGTGCATCTCACTGTGACACCTGGCAAAACCCTAGAATGTGTCATTAAAGGGTCACAGAGGGCCAGCTGAGCTTCATCAATAAGAGGCCAGGCACAGGGACCTCTCTGCTTTCTGTTTTTTTGACAGGACTACCAGTCTGGTAGATCAGGGAGATGCTATAGACATAATGTGCCTGGATTTTTAGCAAAGCAACTGATAAAGTCTCTCAAACTACTCTTCTGGAAAAGACAGAGAGATGTGTGCTAGACAATTGTGTAATCTGCCAGAATCAGAACTGGTCAAATGGCTGGGCCCAAAGAATAGTCTTGAATGGTTCAATGTCAACTTAGAATAAGGCCTCCAGTAGAGTGCCCCAGAGATCCGGATGTGGTTCTGGTCTGCTGAGCATTTTAATCAATGCCTTGGATAAAAGAACAGATGGCATTCTTGAATTGCAAGCAACACAGACCTAGGCATGATAGACAAGGCGGGGGAGGGAAGGAAGGAAGGAGGGAGGGGGGAAGGAGAGGAGAGAGAGATAGAGAGAGAGAGAGAGAGGAGAGAGAGGAGAGAGGAGAGAGAGAGAGAGAGAGAGAGAGAGAGAGAGAGAGAGAGAGAGAGAGAGAGAGAGAGAGGAGAGAAAGGGAAGTCAGCAGGGAGGTAGAGAGGGAGATAGGTCAGTAGGTAGATAAATATAGAGAGACAGAAAGACAGATTGGTGCAAAGATTCTCACAGGCTTGAACAATGGGTTGAAATCTAATAAGATTAAATTTAATAAGAATAAGTAATTAATGTTTTACATTTAAGTAAAAAAATGAAAACAACTTCATGAAACTAAGATCTGGGAAGCATGGCTAGCAGGCAGTCTAACTGAAAAAGATCTGGTGGTTTCAATGGACTACAGGATCAATATGGATCAATAATAAGCTAAGAATGTCAGCTAAAAAAGCAAATGCAATGTTAGTGTGCATTAAGAGAGGCATGGCAAAAAAAAAATTTTTTAAAAAGAGAGAGGTATGGCACCCCAAACTAAGGACCCAGACCTGACAGTAGGTGCCGTACTTTGCCCTGGTCAGATCACATCTGGAAGGAACACGGTACTTAATTCTAGGTACCATACTTTAGGAAGCATATGGAGATGTCCAGTGGACAGAGACTGGGGGGAGGGTGGGGTAACAGTGAAAAAGGCCTTGACATCAAGTCATATGAGGATCAGTCAAAGGAGCTGGAGAGGAGATGACTTAAGAAGGCCATGAGAGTTGTAGTCAAGTACTAGAAGGGGTCACACATGGTAAAAGGAAAGGCTTGTTCGGCCTAGCCCTGAAGGACAGAACTAAAAAGAATGCATGGGAGTTCAAAAAAGGTAAATTTCATTTGATGCCAGAAAAAAAAAAAACCTTCCCAACAGTAAAAGCTGCCCCAAAGTGGCCTGGGCCACCCTGGGAGGTAGTGAGGTCTTCTGGCAAAGGTCAGGTATGTTGTCAGGCGATTCTTGTTCACCCACAGGTTAGACAAGATGGTCTTTTTCAATGTCAAGTTTGTGACTCTGTGTCACTGCATAAAGTACTTCCCCTGTCTGGGTCTCAGTTTGCACCTCCATGAAATGAGGAATAGCGGACCTACTTCACACGAACTGCAACATACCAGATTTAGAGCAGGAAGAGACCTTAAGGACCGTCTAGTCTAACCAAACCCCTTCATTTTACAGAGGAGGAAACTAAAGCCAAGAAAGGGAAGTCATTTGGTCAACAAACATTTCTTAAGCACTTACTGTTCGCCAGACCCTGGGCTAAGTGGTGGAGATACCAATGAAAGGCAAAAACAAAACAAAAAACCGTAACTTGCCCAATGTCACAGAGGCAACAAGAAGGAGAAGCAGGATTCATACCCAGGCCCTCTAACTGCAGTTCCAGTACTCTTTCCATTTCTATGATGACATGTGTGAAATGCTCTGGAACTCTCTAATGGCTATTGGATGGTATCACAGATGGAAAGTCAGCCTTGGAGCCAGTAACTTCTCTGAACCCAACTGGCTGGGGACCCCTGGGTAAGTCACCTAAAGTCTCAGTGATCTGGGCAATTCTCAAAGACCCTCATTCACAGCGAAGGCACCGGTGTCCACTGGTAGAAGGAGCTTCCTCGTCGTAATGAAGAAATCACAAAGCCAGTCCTGAGCCTCCTATAATTTTGACCAACACCCTTTGCGGAAAGATCAGAATTCAACATAGCTGGCCAATAAAGAACTATAATCTGAACCCTAGGGAATATGGTAAAGGCATAAAATAAGATAAGGGAGGTAGCAAAGCTAAGCAGGCCAAGCTATGCACTGTAGACACTGAGCAAGGGAGTACCCTGGTCTTGAAGTCAATGGTGATTAGTAAATCACTTGCCAATATTCCCTTGCCAAGAAAAAAGGGAGGGAAACCAGCAGAGATGATGCTATATCACAAAGCACCCAGAGGACAAAAGAAGGAAAGGTTCCTTAAAGCTGAGAGAGCTCCAGAGTCTAGTTACCTAAGCTCCCTGTGACCATTCCCGCAGAATCCTCTTTTATTTTTTCCTTGTCGATTTCAGGGAAATGGTGACTTGAGCATAAGGAGATGAAAAAGACGATGACCACCCTCAAAGATGTGAGACTGCAGGTGTCCTTGGAAGGGCAGGTCCAAAGCTTCATGAAGCACTTTTTTCTTTCGTGATATTAGGAGGGATTTTTACTTCCTTTGCTATGAATGAACTTCCACTTTCTTACCTCTTGGTAGTTGGCTCCGACAATCATGGCGGGCTCATTTCGGTGACTCATGAGTTGCACAAAATACAAGGTGGTCTATACTGGGGTAGAGATAGACACAAAAGGAAATCCCCCACCTACACACTGGTGCTTTATGTGGCAGATATTGAAAATGCATTGACTTCATACACTAAGGTTTGCAAGCTTTGATAGGTAAGCACAATTTTTTGGAATATGGAGAAGACAAAAGTTAAATGAAACCCGAACCCGGTGGTACTGCCCCTAAGCCCACTGTTTCCACTCTTGAGACCTTTGCATTTGGAAAAAAGTGTCAGCTTTGAGTCACTGGTTTTAGGGACGCAGCACAGAAATGGGGACCATGACCTACCGCCAGCGCCTTGAATGACCCAATAGCTTTCAGAACATCCTGGTGGTCCAGATGAGACTCCTAGGAAAAGAGAGAAACTCCTTAATTTTTGAACCACCCCATTCTCTTCCACTACAAGAAGCATTGGGCAGCTGGTTTCACATCACAGATTCTGTCACCGAGAAGTCCCCGTTTCCCCTTTCGTCATTTTCATTTAGATCCCTATAAGAATTCTGTGTGACAAGTTGCTTTGTTTCTCAGGATTCCCAGGCCATTCTCTAGAACTATTGCAATACAAACACTACACCTCTAATCTGTATCAGTAGTAATCTCCACATCATAAGATGATGTCAATGATATCACGGGTCCAGAAAGAAGAAGAGGAGGAGGAGGAGAAAGAAGAAGAGAGGGAGGAGGAAGAAGAGGAGAAAGAAGAAGAATTCTTTCAAAGGGAGGTATCATTAGGCCAGAGTGCCAGGAGTGAGGGAATTTGGGGTACGGTTTGGGAGTTATAGCGGTCAGCCAAATCTGCTTTTCAAAACTGTTTGTATACTGATGCTATAAGACCCAACCTAAACCCAACTTGGAAATTTTCAATGTTTCCTTCCAAAGATTACTTCTGAAACAAGGCCCTAGAATCTCATGGAAATTATAACCCCAAGTAAGTCATCAAAGCGGAAAATATGAATAGATTCCAAACAGGTTTAGATCAAGTCCCAGATGATGGATCTATCGCCAGTTACAAAAGGAAGACAGTGATATTTGAGTTACCTCTCTAAGTTCTGGAAGTCAATGTCACCAAAGGGCAACTTGAAACACTCTCCTCTGGGCCATCCTTTGGTGACAGAATACTATGGCTATGATCCAGGACAGATACATAAGGAAGCTCAGAGCCCAAAAAGGCTTTACTGGGTCACATGAGCATAATAAATGCAGTCATCTGCTTTAGAAACGGAAAGATAAAGGCATTCCCTCTGGGCTTAAGTTTTGTGCTATATTTTTAAAAATACATATTCTTTTGCATTAAATGCCTTTGCTTTGAACTAATTGTAGTGCCCCGCCTGACTAGTAACGGTAAACAAATTGTGGAGGTTCCTGAGCTATGGCTCTGAGTGGCCACAAATCCACAGTATACTCTGAACCTGAAGTAGCTTTATCTGAGGGACGTACTCTGCTAGTTTGAGGGTTCTCCCAGCTGCTACTGCTGTTTGGTTTGGTTTTTTTTTTTAACGTTCTTACAACGGAGTGGGGAGAAAGAGACCAGACTTCTTCTAGATTCAAGTTGTTACTTTTCAAATTTAATAGGGTGGATAAGACAGCAGAAGTCGGGATTCGATGCTGTCACTTTTATGTTCTGATTCGCCATTTAGCTTAGCTGCCCTGTCAAGAAAGTCGGAAAGCCAGACCCAGTTAGAGATGAGTTATCTGATGCTGGGAGGAGCCAGGTACCAAATGGAGGCAGAGAGGGCTTTAGTGAAGGGGAAAGTCAAGGAGGGGGTTCAAGCAGAGAAAGGGTTGGTCTTTGGGGGGGGGTTTTGCCTTCTTTTGTTTTCTTAGCCTGGGCCATTCATTCTTGAGCATGCACAATGTTAAACAGCAGCAGAAATGGACTTTTCATAACTGGCGATGGGCAAGTCTCAGACAGTTCAGTTGCTGGAAAGGCAGCCAGAGGTCAGCTCCTCACTGAGCCCCAACGGAAGCCCCACTCTGGCAGCCTTCGCTCAGCAGCTCCCCCACTGCCTCCTGGGTTCAGGCAGGTCCTGTACCCTGAGAATGTGGTTTTGCACACGGCGGGGCTAGCAAAGAAGTACACAGCCTCTTTCTTTAAAGTTAACCGAGCCTTTTTAAAACCTCAAACCCTTTCCCCAGACAACAGGAAGAGCAACTAGGGTAAATGCAACCTCCTCAACTGGGCCCTCTTCCCCCACCTACAGCCACAGAATATATAGACATGATAGCACAGGACTAGGCACACAGTAGGTGTTCATGAAATGCTTACTGGCTGAAATATTTCCAAGAAGTGTCAAGGGCGAGTTACCCATTTAAGGCCTCAGCCCAAGTCCTGATTATTCAAATGAGGTTGCTGTAGCTATAGTACAATTATCCTGGGTAAAATAGAGACTCCAAATGTAAAGGTGGGCCCTTCCTTCTTTTCAGAGGTGGGGCACTATGGGTACGGAGCACTGTATATACTGTCAGACTTAGTCGATGTGTTGACTAGTTTTGCTGAAGCCCTTTGTTTCAATTTTTTTTTTATCCTTTATGAAGAAGGCTGGAAAGCAGAGGGAAAGGGATCTATTTGGAAATAAAGGAGACAGAAGAATGAAAGAGATCAATAAAAATTGCTAAAGTGGGAGAAAAAAGGTGACTGTGTGTCAATGGTCATATGTTTGTATATCAACAGGTGAAGAAATCAACTCTGAATCCATTTCTGAGTTTTGACTTCCCTGGGAAGCACCTGAAATGTTTACTGTGACCTCGAATGTTAAGAGACTACACTCAGAGCCTGAATTGAGTTGTCAAAATAATAAACAAGAATAAGAAGAATAGAGCTCCTCTGGGAGTCCCCAAGCTACCTGGCTGCAGGGCCCCAAAGGCAGCAGCACAGCAGTTAGCTCCAAGCCTGGTCTCATCAAGCTGCCTTGCGCCACCACAGACGGGGCAGGACAAGTGGGGAGAAAGGCCCTGCTGAGAGTCCCAATCTGGGGCTGCTGCTACATCTGGTTCGGTTTCCTCATGTAGAGGACAAACTGGGTAACCTGGGGACGAGGCCAGCTGGGAGCGATGGAGCAGGGCCGGCAGGAGACCCAAGGCCAGCGCCCTCCACACAGCCCACTCGGGCCGCCATCCACATCTTACCTCCATGTGGCGCTCCAGCTCTTGGAGAAGAGACACATATTTTTCCAGTCGCATGAAGGGCTTGCTGAGGTTTGTTGTCAATAGGAGAATCCCCGGATTGGCTGCTCCCTGACTCTCCATAAACTTTTCCAGACTGTCACTGGGGAGAAACAGAAGCACTCTTCACTTCATGAGCCAAGGGAACGTTACCAGGGCCATGCTGCTGTTTGCCCCTAGAAAGAGCCAGACCCCAAGTGCTCCACAAGTGCTTGCCAGTCTGGCAAGTGGGAAAGGATTGAAGAAGCACCTACTATGCGCCAGCACTTTACCAATCCATTCTCTCATTTGATCCTCACAACAACCCTATTTTACAGGCAAAGAAAACTGAGGCAAACAGAGGTCAAGTAACTTGCCTGCGGTCACACAGCTCCCCTTCACCTCTATCCTTTCTGTCACTCAGGTTCCAAACAACAGTCATCCATGACTCTTCTCCAACCCTCATATTCCATATTCAATCAGTTGGCCAAGTCTTATCAATTCGGCCTCCACATCTCACTTGTCATCTCTTCCTCTTCACTGGCAGAGCCACTTCCCTAGCTCATGGTCCTCATCGCCTCTCCCCTGGACTACTGCAATAGCCTCCTAATTGGCCTCCCTCCCTCCATCCTCTCCCCTTTCCAATCCATTCATCCTCCAAACTGTCAAACTAACATCTGCAAAGCACAGCTCAGGCCATGGAGTTCCCAATTACGTCTATGAGACAATACCAACTATGATTGGCATTGAAACCCCCCCACAATCTAGTTTCAACTGACCTTTCCTGATTGGTTTCATATCAGCTAGGTGGTCAAGGTGCTGGACTTGGAGTCAGGAAGACTTAAGATCAAATCCTGCCTCAGACCCTTAGCTGTGTGACCCTGGGCAAGTCACTTTGCCTCTGTCTGCCTCAGTTTCCTCATCTGTAAAATGGTTTGCAACCCTTCAAGTGTTATGTAAATGCTAGTTAACATCACAATGACATTTCTACCCCTCACAAAGTACTTTCCAGCCAAATCAGCCCTATCTCCTGCCTCCTCTTTCTGGGCTCACCTTTGCCTTGGAGGAGCCTCACCTCCATTCAGGGCTCAACTTAAGTGTCATCCACTCTTTATATGAGGCCTTTCCCAACACCAAGCCCCTGCACCGTCAAAGGAGAATGCTATGAGAGAGCAGACCGAAGCTCCATGTTTGCAGAAGCAGCACCAAATGGGAAGGCAAAAAGAATCCCAGTGATGGCAGCCAGGACGGCTGGCTTACAGGCTGGCCCGCTGCCTGGAGAGCCAGGGCACCTGAAGCAGAGAACTGTCTCCACCCACAGACCTGTGTAGCCAACTGCCCTTTATGGACATTTGTTGTTCTAGCTATATTCTTTCATTTGACCCTTCTCACAACCTTCGGGTGGGTTTGGAGCTGGAAGGGACTTTGGCCCCATTTTGTGTATGAGGAAACTGAGGCACAGAAAGGATTAAATGATTTGCCCAGTGTCATGTGTGCATTTACCTATTTGAGCCAAGTTCCATCTCATCTGACCATATCACTCCCCGACTCCATAAACTCCAGGGGCTCCCTAGCACCTCCTAGAACAAACACAAAATCCTGTTGGCTTTTTAAGGCCCTTCATAACTAGGCCCCTTCCTACTCCTATGGTCTTTCACGCCTTACTCCCTTCCGTGTGTATTCTGTGACCTAGGGACACTGCCTCCATACTGTTTCCTACACAAACCACTCCCAGGCCTTCTCACTCCTCACCTCGTCTACTCTCCTTCCTAATTGCCACCTCCTGACTTCCCCGGCTTCCTTCAAGTCCTTGCTACAATTCCACCTTCTCCAGGCAGCCTTTCCCGAGCCGTCGCACTGCCAGGGCCTTCCTTCTTTGACTATCTTCCATTTGCTTACACACAACTGTTGGTATGTCATCTTCCCTCCCCCCTCCCACCATCCCCGACCCCCGTCAGCCTGGGAGCACCTTGACAGCGGGGAGGCAGTCTTTTGCCTTTCTTTGTATCCTCAGTGCCTGGCACATAGTAGGTACTTCATGAATACTTGATTTGGACCTTTCTTTGCCTCCCCAGCAGGGCTTAGTACAGTGCTGGGCTTGACTTAACTTCATCAGGGTTAGAAAAACCAAAGGCTACTCGAAATCGCAGGCTCAGAGGCTTCTCGAGGCAGAGGGAGGACTCAACCATCCAGGTTTTCACAGCCATTTTTGGTATTCTCATTCCACCTAGAGGCCTGCACAAAGAAGTTCACCTACTGCATGAATAGCAGGCAGGGCTGAGGATCACAGCTTTTCCTCCCTCTCCTTCCTGTTCACTGCCCTCCTGTCATCTCCTCACTTCTGAGTCCCCACCCCCAAAGAGGGTGAGAAACCCTAACTCATGCATTTTCTCCTTTGGAAGTCATGGTATGGAGAAAGTACTGGAAATCCTCCTGTTACCTAGGTTCAGGATTGGTGGTGGTGGTGGTGATGGGTGGTCTCATTTGCCTGTGTCCTGCTTGGATCCCATCACAGCCATAATGATGAGATAGCTACAAACAGGATTCCTACCCATAGTACTCAGGGAGATGAATTCATTTGACAGTCACGCCAATTCCACTGATGGGGCCTGATTAGTCCCGCTGTGTTTACAGAGGAGGAAAAACTCACCCATGATCACCTCGCTATTAAATGGAGAAGCGCCACAATTACAGTGGAGAAGGTGCTGGACTAGGAGGCAGGAAGCCCTGGGTTCAAATCCAGGTTCAGTCACTTACTAGCTATGTGACCCTGGGCAAGTCATTTCCCTTCTGTTGGCCTCAGTTTTCTCCTTGATAAGATGGGGATAAGAGAGGCCCCTACCTCACAGGCCTGCAAATGAGCTATATGTTCAGGGCTATATAAATGGAAATTATTACTGTTGTTGTTGTTGTTGTTATGACATGTCAAACCCATGTCTAGGGTTTGTTCTGCCATGCCGTGCTCCCTTCCGAAATGGACACAGCTGGGGAGAGAGCCCAGGTTTCCTGATTTAACATTCAAACACTGAAGTCATCATTTTTGGAAATAAACCAGTCACTCCCGCCTCAGGTTTTATGAAACTTCACATAACTGGACATGAGAAATTCTCCAAAGATAATTCTCCCTCAGTGATTAATAAGCACACAGCAAATGACCCTTTTAGAGGGATCAGGGTGGGAAGGAAGAGGCTTAGAAAGCCAGTGAAGAGAGACTGGAAAGGCCAAGATGGTTGAGAATATGCAGTCAGAGGTCATGGGCCTGACTCCCAACTTTGCCACCTGCATCACCGTAGGCAATCCACTTCACTGGCCAAGACCTCAGTTTCCTCCTCAGTAAAATGAACAGGTCGAACTAGGTGACCTCTAAGGGCCCTTCCGGCTCAAAATTTATGATCCTGTGATCATTGAATGAAACTCTTCAACAAACTGTGCCTTCAGGGCCACTCTGTAATAGGTTAGAAGGAACCTCTTCTACTCCATCAGGGAACTCCGAGTCCTGACCCAGGGAAATGAGCCAACCAATAATGAAACTGGAGCATGCATCATTAGTTACAGGTGAAACTTGCAAGGGCCCGAAAACTTGTTTCAGCACAATGTACCCTTTGTCATTTCAACTATGTCATCTCTTCTGGCTTTATTCCCTCCAACTCTACTGGGCTCATAGTTTTTTCTCTTAAGATAAAAAGGAAGAGAAGCTTCCCTAGGGAGAACGAGTAATATAGAAATCTTAATTTCCATCTTTATTTGTGTTATGAGATTCTCTCCCTTGGTACATGTGAAAAACACCCCGAATTTTCAAAGAGGAATCATGTGCAATGGAAACTCCAAAATTAGACACACTGGATTGGAAGGAGGTCATTGTAGCCCACTTCTCTCATTTTGTAGGTAAGAAAATTGAGTCCGGGAGACTGGGAGGAGCTTGGCCATGGTCCAACAAGTTGGTGGTTCTGGAAGTCCTAGTCCTGGCTCTACCCCTGATTAACTAACTGGGTGACCTTAGACTAATCATTTCATTTTCCCAAGCCTCAGTTTCTTCATTTGAAATATGGTAGGGGATCAAGGGAGTAAGAGGGGGATCAAAGTGTTAGACTAAATAATCTCTAAGGTTCTGAAATTCTGTTTGTTACTAATGGGAGAGGTTCTGCTCTCTCCTGTGTGCCAGGGAATGACACAAGAATAAGATGTGATGAATAGGTCTTCCTCTACGCAAAGGCCTTCTTGCTATAGGTTAGAGATCTCTTGTGTGCATTAAATGATAACATAGATGCTTTATACAGGAGGGTTGGAGATGTGCTAGAAATTGACTGCTGAGGAAACAACAGAGGCTGACATGTTGATACCCTGGATCTCTGGAAGGAGGAGAAGGAGAACAAAAAGCCAAAAATGAGCATGACCAGGAGAAAGGAGTAAATTAAAGCATGGGGCAAGAAAAGAACATTTGCACAAGTTCACCCAGGCTGGACCTAACTGGCCTTGTGGGTGTAGGGACCAAGGAGAAGCCAACGACCACCTCAAGCTTCAACAGAACTTCTCGGGGCCCAGTTTTAGCCTAAGCGTCAGGGTTTTATGATGAGGAAGCTGAGAGAGGAGCATGGGGCAGGGCTACATTCCCAAGGCTGGCCCCAGAAGAGGAGCCTTTAACCCCGTAGCTGGTAGCAGAGAACAAGGGATGAGGCCCCTGGCATTTCCTCACAGGAAGGAAGCACGGCCATACTGACTGGGCTAAAAATAGCTCTGCATCCAGGGCAAGGGGAAAGCATGCTGGACTTGCATGCAGGAAGATCTGGAGTTAAATCCTGCCTTTAACACTTACTAGCTATATGAGCAGGGCAGCTAGGTGGCGCTGCAGTGGACAGAGTACTGGGCCTGGAGTACAGATGACTCATCTTCCTAAGTTCAAATCCAGCTACTAGCTGAGTGACCCTAAGCAAATCACTTCACCCTGTTTACATCAGTTTCCTCATCTGTCAAATGAGCTGGAGAAGGAAATGGCAAACCATTCCAAGATCTCTGCCGGGAAAACCCCAAATGGGGTCATGAAGAGTCGGACACAATTGAAATGACTGAACAACAATAACAACAAAGCTATATGAGCAGGGACCGGTCACTCAGTTTCCCCATTTGTAAAGCTGGGATCATAGCACCTGCAATACCTACTTCTCAGAGGCATTGGGAGGGGCCAGACTTGAAAGCATCATCATAATTATTATCAATCCTTCCAACATCACCACCGTCCTCATAAATGCCATTGTCTGCCTTGGGGGCAACACTTGTTTATAACTGTGTTGTCTCTGCTGACTATGTGGCTGAGCTATAAATGGGCCAGAACTTCCTACATTATCCATTAAGCAGCCGGAATTAGGCAACTGACCAAGCAGCTGAGCTGCCTGCCTCGATCACCAGTCATTCAACATTTCCCCTTCACCACAGCTGCCACATGGCCATCCCAGGAGCCCCATTTGTTCTCCCTGAAAACAGCAGGAGTTCCTAATGTTGATCAAGGGAATCCACATGGTCTTCCCATGATACCTGTAGAATAATTCTGCCTCAGCGCTGCCCTGCCTACAACCTGTAAGCCAAGCCTGCTTACAATGAACTGGGGTGAACACAGAAAGGTAGCCTGCTGTCCTGACAGTCCTCCATCTCCCCTGCCCCCGAAGATGACAGCATAGGTTCAGGAGGGCTAAGGTTTACAGCATTTGTCCTGGACTTGAGCAGCCTAGCAAAACTGTGGCTGTTTGGGACCTGAAGCCAAGATCAAAGTATGTCCAAGGGCAGACCCAAAGGAAGGCCAATCTGCTACAAATGTGAAACATGATGTCCTTATTGGTTATCCCACATGAAAATATGGTGGCCTTACTGGCATCCCACATGGAAATACGGAAGCCTTACTGGTATCCCACATGGAAATATGGCAGCCTCACTGGTATCCCACATGGAAATATGGAAGCCTAACTGGTATCCCATGTGGAAATATGGAAGCCTAACTGGTATTCCATGGGGAAATATGGAAGCCTAACTGGTATCCAATGGGGAAATATGGAAGCCTAACTGGTATCCCATATAGAAATATGGCAGCCTTACTAGTATCTCACATAGAAATATGGCAGCTCTACTGATATCTCACATGGAAATATGGTGGCCTTACTGGTATCCCACATAGAAATATAGAGGCCTTATTGGGATCCCACATGGAAATATGGAAGCCTAACTGGTATCCCATGTGGAAATATGGAGACCTTACTGGTATCCCACATGGAAGCAAAAAGGCTTCCAATGACATGGTCACTTTCAAGTCCAAAGCTCCACCCTAAAACTCTATAAGGGACCTAGACTTCTTAGAAGGGCATTTGGCCTGCTGGGATCCACTTGGTTTTCCACCAGGTCAGGCAGGCAGACAATTCCACTGCTGCCTTCAATGGAAACTTCTCATTTTAACCTATCCTCAACTTTTAATTATCCAGAAACTAACAAGTCAGGCAGATTGATGATTAGGATCCTCTATTTCTCCCACTTCTCCTCTCATTGGACATTTCACTGGAGAAAGGGTATTGGCCTCCAAATCTAAAGCAGAGTGCTGCTAAAGCAGATGAAAATGTCAGTGTTTAACAAAATAAATAAAAATGCAATACAACACAGATAATGTTAATTTGTGATTTTCTAAGTCAATATGTGGCCTGGAGGGATCAGTTTCTATTTGAACTTGACAACACTAGTCTAAAAGACCAGCTCTGCTATTAATTTGCCGTGTGACTTTGGACAAGTCCTTTCTGCTTCTCTAGGTCTCAGTTTTCCTGATGGCAGAGGAGGGGAATTAGACTAAATCATTTTTCAAGCTCTTTCCAGTTCCTACCCCTTTCTTGTAACTGTGACCTCTTAAAAGTCACCATCATCAGAGAGAGGAATGGGTGAGTAGAAAGAGATGAGATTAACTGTTGTTGCTGGCTTGTCAGCAGCTTGAACTCATCACTCAGTGGGGGAAGAGCTGTATTCCTTTTTTGCCTAAAATGACATTGTTGTACGATGTGTTTGTTGTACCCAGGCTCTCTCCCTGGAGTCGTGATAATCCAGTGGTACCGATACCTGTCGTTCCTTAAAACAGACACCTGATGTGTCTGGAAAGGAGACCTGGAGCTGGAATGGGACCTTAGATGTCATCGAATCCAACCCTCTCATTCTACAAAGGAGGAAACTGAGGCCCGTGGAGGGGAAGCTACTTGCTCACAGTCACACAAAGGCACGACTTACACCCAGGGCCTAAAACATTCTTGCCACTGTGCTACAGGGTCCAACTTAAAAAAGTCAAAGAGGAAGAAATTATATATATGAGGAATTCAGAGAAACACAGGAAGATTGCTATGACTCAATTTAGAATACAAGAAATAGACCCAGAAGAATGGTATACACAATGACTACACCAATGTAAATGAGAAGATCACTAAAAGCAGACTGAAGTCCACAAAATGGAAAACCAGGAATGGTCTTAACGAATATCATAAAACATGCCTCCCCCCTCTCAGCAGACAAACAGGGGACTGTAAGGGCAAAACATCGGGTACAGGGTCCATGCTCGGGTACTGTCACTGGACTGGACAGTTTTGCCTAACTGTTTTCTTTGTCACAAGGGAAGGTTCAGTGAAAAATGTGTGTTTACATGTAATTGAGAAATGAATAAAATAAAAATTAAATGGTTAAAAAAATCAAGGGAAGGTTCAATTCTGGCATAGAGAGGATGAGGAAATGGGAGTACAGGTGTATATCAGAAATGACTGGGAGGCATCCAAAAAGCTTACTTAAAAAAAACCATCGAGGAGGGCACTTTGGTAAGGATTGTCAACAGGACCACACATTCATTACCTGTGCTGAGTTATAACATTCACAGCTGAGGGGTGATTAGCACAATAAGTGAGATACAGAGATTTAAACTGAGGCATTAGGGACATCAGGCAGCCTCCGACTTTCTGCTGACTCTCTGGAAGTCTGTTTCAAAAAGAGAGAGAGAGGGAAGAAAAAAGATATATTATATAAGTAACAAATACCTGAGGATGACTTCCATTAAAATAACAATAACTAACATTTTATAATACTTACTATATGACACGCACTATGCTACACACTTTCCAGAAATTATCTTATTTGACCCTCACACCAAACCTGTGAACTAGACACTACCTTTATCTCCATTTTACAGATGAGGAAATTGAGGCCTGTTAAAAATGCATAGTATCAGGGCAGTAAAACTTATTTTAAAGAACAAAATAAAATTAATATCGTGGAAAACCTTAAGGGGAAAAGTAAGAGAAATAAATGACTAAAAGCAATATGTGGCCTGAGTTGGGTGTTGAGAATAGGACAGGGTAAGGCAGCGAGCAGAAAGGATGGTCGGATGGCTAGTTCAGCCTCTGAGCGGCCATCATTTGGAACCCTGGCTGCCTGCCCACCTGCTGTCTTCTATAGATCTCCAATGGCCTCATCCGGTCCATCCCAAAGGAGAGTGCGTGGGCTGATGCTCAGCCCACGCTCCCTCAGGACATTCAGGAGCTACAGTTCCCATCACCAGCCTTCGCCTCACTCAAGCCCTCAGAGTTAAAAGTCCCCCTCCAAAAGTCATATTTATCCCATGATGTCACTTCAGCAACATATCCTACATAATGAAATGTGAATAAATCCCATGCTCCCATGTTGCATGACCAAAAGGATATACTTTTTCTGCTCCAAGCTTCCTTGGAATTCAGTGAAAGTGCCTAGACTAATCATAGGATCCTAGATCTCAAGCCGCAAGGGACCCCCAGAAGCCAGCCAGTTCAGCCCCTTCATTTTACAGAAGAGGAAACTGAGGCCCAGGGCAGTGAAGGGACTTGCCCAAGGTCACAAATAGAACCCTAGCTCTAGAGCTGAAAGGGACCCCAGAGGCCCCTGAGTCCACTCCCCTCATTTTACAGAGGAGAAAACTGACACCCACAGAGGGAAAGGGACTTGCCCAAGGTTAGCCAGGTAATAAACAGCAGTCAGAACTCAAATCCAGGTCCCCTCACTCCCAAACCAGTGCTTTCTCCAGAGCACTAGATGATGTGATCAGTGGAAAAAAGCCCGAAGCTCACAATCTAATAATAAGAACTAACAATGACTAACATTAATATAGCACCTGCTATGTGTCAGACACTGTGCTAAGTGCTTTACAATTATCTCATTTGATCCTCATGGCGACCAAGGGAAGGGAGATGCTCTGATTATCCCCATTTTACAGATGAGGAAACTGAAGCAGACAGAGGTAAAATGACTTGCCAAGGGTCTTACAGCTAGTAAGTATCTGAGGCTGGATTTGAACTCAGATCTTCCTTACTCTAGATCCAATGCTCTAGTCACTGCAGCACCACTTAGTTGCCCAATCTACACTCTACTGCCCAAGGTACAAAAGACTGTCATTAGACGTCTGGCATGAGGATACTGAGGCAGTCTCCTGCAACCAAGCACCTTTCTCAGGTGGACCAGATTCAGTAAACTGAGGTTCATCCCAAGGAACAAACACTGACCCCACGTTCTTCCTACAACCTTGGCGGCCACTGCCAACACTACGATCATCATTGGCATCATTGGCATCATTCCTCTCCACTGTGGTCAAGTAGGTACAAAAGCAGACACACTCCTGTAGAGGTTTTACCGTACCCACTCCCATAGGCCTCCGCAACCCTGAGTTCCACAGCCAACCTCCAATGCTTACTTTGCACACTCCTCCAAGGCCTGGCACAGGGTCTGCTGAAATGTGCACACTTCCTCAAAGTTGCCCAATAAAGATGCAAATTCCACAGCACTCAGCCTGGAGGGGAAAAGACATCTGATTAGAGTTTGAGACACACTTTCAGTTTCCCAAGGGCCCAGCTGAATGATTGAAAGCACTGGCCAAAGGACAAGAAGCCAAGAGCTCCTGGTGGGTCACCCCTGCTTTTATCTTTGTTCTCTTTAAGGAGTAGACTACTTAACCTATTTCCCTCAGTTTCCCCCTTAAGTAGAGCAGGGCCAATCCTGCTAAAGAATAAGTGGGCTGTACATAAATCGATACATTTAACATTTTCATTCTGAAGGCTCCGCTGGTATCCACTGGTATCCTGTGGTGTCCAGAGGACACGAAGGCTTCCAGCACATTGGGTGAACCCCTTGAGGTAAAAGTCTGGGAGGATAGGAACAATGGGTGTGGATGGATGGGTAGCAATCTGCATCCTCGGACGGAATGTCCACTGATGAATGTCCTTGATCCCCTTGGAGGATCAAAGTTTTTTCAAAAGGTTTTCTGTGTAATATAGAGCCTATATCAGATTGCACACTGTCTTGGGGAGGGAGGGGGAGAAAATCTGGAACACAAAAGCTTATGGAAGTGATTTTTAAAAAGGTTTGTGAGAATAAGTCTGCTTCAACATCTCCTCACAAAGGTGAAAAATGACCTCTGTGGAAATCAAAACCCTTGTAGCATGTAAGCTCCTTGAGGGCAGAGACAGTTTTGCACAGTGCCTGATACCCAACATAGGAGCTGACCAATAAAGGCTTAGTGAGTGGCTGACTGATCTAAAACAGGGCCTTGTAGCTCTCAGCAAGGGGACTGCAAAGCAAAGCATTTACTAGGTGAAGACAAGATGCTTTTGGGGGGCATTAGGTAGAGTTAAGATCTGTGTTGATTGGCACAGAGAACTCTTGGTGGGAAAACTCCCTCCACCAATGCAGAGAGGCAACTGTTGGACAAGTCAAACTAACAAGCAACTGAGAGGGAAAGTGCCTCAATCCCAGGTTCTCCAAACTCCCCGGGCCCAGCCCCCTGATCCACTACCACACTGCCTCTCAAGACACTCTATGGAAGAAGGCAAGAATTCCCGAAACCAGTTTCAACCAAAAAACAAAGCAAAACAAAACAACTGTCCTCAGTGGTTAGAGCAATGAAAAGTGGCCAGCCAGCTGCCTCAACCTGGAGATATTATAGGGACTGCTTCTTCCTTTCAGCTTAATTCCAATTAACAATCTAGAGAAGATTAATGTTAGTTTGCAAAGAGCTGCCAGACCTTCAGACCGGCCATTTCTTAGTCATGTGAATGGCCTAAAATGTGTATGGTCCACAATATGGCAAACTTTTCCCACTTTTATGTATCAGAAGATTTATATGTGTAAACCAAGGGTAGGGAACCTTCAGCCTGGAGGCCCTTCTGACTGGGCTGCACTTGAGGATCTAGAGGGCCACATGTGGCCTCGAGGCCACAGGTTCCCCACACCTGGTATAAACCAAAGGAAAATGGCAGCTCTCCCTAATAGGAAATTGAAGTGACTTCAGTTTTTCTTATTGTTAAGCCCACTGATCATATACTCTTAACAAACCAATTCCTTAATCACAAAATTAATTAAAGGGTTCAATTCCGATTTCAGGCCGTGGTCCTTTTTTCTTCCTTGACTTGAAAATGAGGTTGATCTGTTGCAGTGGCTACTATTGGTTTTTTGGTTGGAGGGGGTTGGGGAGAGATCTCAGATCAGCTCAATTTCAGGCACCGAGCCAGCATGGTCAGCAGTGGGATTCTTGGAAGCCATCAATGTAGAAATCTGGTTTGCTTCTATGTTATGAGGTTATTTCCTTATTTGTTTGCTTGTTTTCCCCAGTGGGGTGGGAGGAGATAAGAAGGAAAAAATAAATTCCTGATAATTGGATAAAAAAAAATTTTTTTAAACTTTGTAAAATAACCCAACCTTATGAGGTAGGCAGTGTTAGTATTATGATCCTCATTTTATAGATGAGGAAACTGGGACACCAAAGGGTGAAGTGATTTGTCTATGAACACATGAGGTGGTTTCTGAGGCTGGATCTGAACCCAGGAGTCCTGACTTTCAGTCCCATACTCCAAGGCACAGAATAGAATGCTTCACTTCGACAAGGCAAACCCAACCTTGAAATTGCCAAGGCTGCAAAGCTGTTCTGATTCTGCCTGCTTGTCATTAGGTCTCCTCCGTTTTAAAAACCAAAGTCATAAAAAAAGAAAATGATAAACGCTGGAGAAGATGTGGGAAAATTGGAACACTAATGCATTGCTGGTGGAGTCATGAACTGATCCAACCATTCTGGAGAGCAATTTAGAACTATGTCCAAAGGGCTATAAAACTGTGCATACCCTTTGACCCAGCAATACCACTACTAGGTCTGTATTCCAAAGAGGTCATAAAAAAGGCAAAAGGACCACATGTACAAAAATATTTATAGCAGCTCTTTTTGTGGTGGTCAAGAATTGGAAATTGAGGGGATGCCCATCAATTGGGGAATGGCTAAACAAGTTGTGGTACATGAATGTAATGGATTACTATTGTGCTATAAGAAATGATGAGCAGGCTGACTTCAGAAAAACCTGGAAAGACTTACATGAACTGATGCTGAGTGAAGTGAGCAGAACCAGGAAAACGTTGTACATAGTAACAGCCACCTTGTGTGATGACCAACTTTGACAGACTTAGCTCTTCCAGCAATACGATAATCTAAGACAGCTGGCTCCAAAAGACTCATGATGGAAAATACTATCCACATCCAGAGAAAGAACTATGGAGTCTGAATGCAGATCAAAGCATACTATTTGCTCTTTTTTTTTTCTTTTCGTGGTTTTTTCTGTTTGCTCTGATTCTTCTTTCACAATATGACTAATACGGAAATATGTTTAATATGATTGTACATGTTTAACCTACATCAAATTGCATGTCATCCTGGGGAGGGGGAGGGGAGAGAGGGAAGGGAAAAAAATTTAGAACACAAAATCTAATAAAAGGGACTGTTTAAAACTATCTTTATATGTAATTGGGAAAAAAATAAAATACTATTAAGAAAAAAAAAAAACCAAAGTCATTTTAAATATTTAAAACAACAACCAAAAAAAACCCAAGCCCATCTGCCCACATTGCAGTGGTATGTGTTTCTATACTGATGTAAAACAATTAACTGTTGTTTATTTTTAAAGAGGAAGGGTAGTACAGTGGGGGGAATACTGCATCTGAGGCCAAAGAACCTGGGTCCTAATCTCAGCACTGACACTTGCTACTTTTATGATCTTGGGCAAGTCTTTTCTCCTCTCTGGGCCTCAGTTTCCCCCTCTGTAAAATGAGGGGGTTGGACTAGATGGCCTCGGAGGTCCCTTCTAGTCTAGGTCTATGATGCTCTGTGTGACCTCAGGAAAAAGGGAAGAGAATAAGCATTTATTAAGCACCTACTAGGTGCCAGGCATGGTGTTGTACAGATATAGCTCATCTGGTCCTTACAACAACCCTACAAGGTAGGAACTGTTATTTTCCCCATTTTACAGATGCGAAAACTGAGGCAGGCAGCAGTGAAGTGACTTGCCTAGGGTCACAGCTAGTAAGTCCCTGAGGTTGGATTTGAACTCAGGTCTTCCTGACTCCAGGCCCAATGCTCTAGCTACTGCACCACCTAGCTGCCTCTGGGCAAATCACTTCCTCTCTCTGGGGCTCAGTTTTCTTTTCTGTAAAACAAGTAGGTTGAACTTGGGGACCTCCAAAGTCCCATCCAACTCTAAAGCTATGACCCCTTGTTATTAGTTGTGCCCAGGGCAGAGTGACCCAATCAGCTAACTGCCCCAAGCCCCTGAATCCCTCCTACATACACATTCCTACTACAGATCAGGGCAGGAGAGCCTTGTCTGGTGCCACAGACAATTCTATTCTGGGCCAGTGACCTCTGGAGCCCCAGAAAGCCATAGCGCAGACGCCCAGAAAGGAGTCAGGCAGCCATGGGAAGACAGGTCAGTGAGTCCCTTTGACTACAGTTCAGCACACTAGTATAGCTTGGGGTGGGGGCAGGGGGGCGGTGGGCAGGGGCAATGTCAAGGAGACAATAATGGCCTGCTGGCTGCTGAGTAGGCAGGCAGCAGCCACTGCCTTTGAAGGGCACAGTCCCCGACTGGCACTGTCCCTGCAGAATCAGGCCTCGGAACACGAGCACAAAGGTTGAGTTGCTAAGAATATACATTTGAGAAACCTTTTGGGTTGTTCTTTCCAGCCATACCAAAGATGAGAATAGTCCCGACTTCACTCATCGCTTCACAATTTGGGGAATCACACGGCTCAGATGGACAGCCCAGTCTGGTCTTCCAAGTGGGTGACGGCCTATATGGCATGATTCGAGGGCTGAAATATCAACCCCACCACCTGTCCCTTCACCAGGACAGTTTCATTCCTTCAAGTCATAGGATCATGAAATGTTAGAGCTGGAAAGGACCACAGAGATCAGCTACTGCAACCATCTCACTTTCCAGAGAGAAAGACAGAGAAACTGAGGCCCAGAGACATTAAGTGACCTGCCCAAGGTCACCCGGGTAGTATGTAACAGAGCTAAAATTCCGACGCAGGTCCTCAGACTTCCAGATCCAGATCTGACTGCAGATTTCTGGTCTAGAAAGACAGCATACCATAGTAGAGGGTGTAGTAGCCTTTGAGTAAGGAAGAGCTGGGTTCAAATCCTGCCTGACATTTACAAAGTGACCACAAGCAAGTCATGTAACTTTCTTGCAGCTGTTTCCCCAGCTATAAAATGCAGAGAATAAAGCTGGTAGTCCCTCCCTCGAAGGGTTATATTGGGAGACTCAAATCAGATAATACAAATAAGACCCTTTACAAACCTGAAATTGCTGTAGAAATGGCAGTATTATTATTATTGAAGGATGTTCAAGATTATCCTTATTCACAAAGGCAAATAGCTGGGGGGAAGGGGAGTTATACTTTAGTCAGCTAATCAGCTAATACCTTAATCTTAACCACCAATTAATACTCCAGCAGGAATGGGCAGCCAGC